TTAAAAGAAGAGATAAAAAATATGAATAAGGAAGAAAAGACTATAAAATGGCCATGAAATTCTGAAAAGGAAGCAAATAAAACCTGTAGCAACAAAAAACTATGTCATTGAAATAAAGTGAACGGAGTGACCAGCAGACTCGATGGAGCTCTTGTGGTCAAGGTGCCCCCACCTACTGCAACAATGCATCAGAGAGGAGTTCAAACATTTCTTGCTCATGTACAGTTCAAAGCAGGTGCTCCTGACTGGCAGGCAGCTCTCGCCCCGGAATGAGTCCATCTGTGGCTCCACCATCCTCAGCACATGGCTACCAATGCCACCACATTGCTCCCATCGCCTGGGCATCACCCAGGCATCCTGGAGCACCAGGGGCCGTACAGGGACCAGGTTTGGGGACCAGGCCCTGCCATGTTGCATCTCCCTCCACTCACATTTCAGTGACTAGGACTCAGTTACATGGCTGGGAAATGTGGTCTAGCTGCGTGCCCAGCAGGGAGAGAGAGCAGGTTTGGTGAGCAGCCAGGCCATCTGGACCACAGCAGGTGTAGAAGTCTGAAGGTCCAGTCAATGTGAGCCACAGCTAGTAATGCGCTAAGTGCACTCTTGAAAGCCCGGCCCATTATTATTTCAGTCAATCCTCCTGACTCCCACCCTGAGGATTAAGCTAAGCAGGGAAGATCTTTCCCATTTTACAAAGAAAGAAACTCTTGCTGAGAGAAGGGCATGACTTGCCCAGGCATACACTGCTGCTGAGATGTACCATTTGGGATTGGAGTCCAGGACTTCCCTCGACATCACATTGTTGCCTTTGTCTGGAGATAACAAGGGGAAAGGAGAGGGAGGGATCATGGAGCCAGAGGTCCCTCGTATGCCTCTGTGTTTTCAGCTGAGCCAGTCAACCCAGCAGCCTAGGGACCAGTGAACCCGAAGCCGAGGAAACCAGCTGGAGGTCAGAGCACTGAGTCTAGATTTGAGCTCTAGACACTCCAGACATTTAGAGTTGAGCTTTAACACTGGCTTCCTGGGGCATCAGGGTGGCCAGCTTGGGCCTGAGGGTGGGCCCAAGTGGCCAGCTTGGGCCTGAGGGTGGGCCCAAGGCAGCAGGTCTGCATCTGCCTCACCACAGTACAGCTAAGAGGTTCCTGTGAGTGGGTCAGGCAGTAAAGATTTATCCAGCACCTCTGGTGTGCTGAGTAGTGCTGTGGGTTTCAAAAGCAGACCCTGAGAGCTGGAGACATGCAAAATCCAGGTCGGGGTACCTGTTGAGCTAGCTCTTGAGTGCCTAGCCCTGAACTCAGACTATGTGCTGGGGCCCTGACCTCATGTGATGGCATTCTCACCAAAATCCACAGAGGGAGGGACTTTCCATTCTGCTTTTGTTGGTATAGTGATGTTGGTAATGGTGATGATGGTTATGGTGGTGATGATGGTGGTGATGGTAATGGGGATGGTGATGATGCTGGTAGTGTTGGTGGTGGTGGTGATGGTGGTGATGATGGTGTGGTGATGACAGTAATGGTGGTGATGATGATGGTGATAATGATAATGGTGAAGATGGTGATGGTGGTGATGATGATGGTGGTGATGATGATGATAGTAGTGATGGTGAAAATGATGGTGATGATGGTGGTGGTGATAATAGGAGTGATGGTGGTGATGACGATGGTGATGGTGGTGGTGGTGATGGTCATAGTGATGGTGGTGATGGTGAGGACAGTGATGGTGGTGGTGACAGTGGTGATGTCATCTGACATTATTGAATGCTATCTGTCCAGCAATGCTTCAATGTTAGATGGAATCAATCCTTTAACTTTCACTGTAACCTGACAAAAAAGCAGATTCTTTTGCTTCCATTTGACAGAGAAGAAAACTGAGACCCAGGGAGGTGAGTGATTCATCCTGCATCACAGAGCAGGAGGAGGATGCACCCAGGATTCCCACCCCAGAATCTGACTCAAGCATTGCACTGTAACCCCTGCACCACCCTGCCTCCTTGGATGGGCTGCTGAGCTCCTCTAGGACAGGGCCCCCAACAGACGGCTCCTCTATCCCCAGCTCTGAACCCAGGCCCCACATACTGGCAGGTGCCCGGGGAGGGTCTATTAGGAACGGCTTGTGCGTGATGATTTGTCCAGATGTAAAATCTCACCAGTGCCTTAATGCATCACCTTTACAAGCAATAAGCATACCGATCGATTTGACACGCTTGTGGATAAATGAATGGATTCATGCAGTTGTTGGCCGAGCCAGAGCAGTTGGCTGGCTCTTCCTGGAAGAATCATGTCTGGGACATCCCCACGAACCACTTTCTAACCAGTCAGTCCTCCCAGAACCTGCTGCCTCAGCTCAGCCCAGGCCCCCACGAATCAAGGAGCCCTGGCCGCTCCCGAGGTCAGAGCCACCCGTGGGTGGGGACCCCGTGAGCTCCCAGGTGAGGAAGGCCCGCGATGCCCCCCAGCCTCGGCACCCGGGTCCTACAGGGAGAGAAAGCCCACAGGGGCCGGGACTGGAGGAGGGGAGGTAGCAGCTTTGATCTGTTGCCAAAGAGAGAAAGGGGAGAAACACACTTGTCTCCAGACAAGCTGTTCGCTTACCAGCTGACTTTGGTAAAAGAAAAAATATTCCCAGAGCCATCTGTTCCCAGACTGGGGCTGGTGTGGGGCCCGGGGCTTCCTGCAGCTCAGGGAGCCAGACCCAGTTTCAGAATCCGAGACAGCTGCCCCCTGGATTATTTTGGGAAGCGGCTCAACTCCGCAGCACCCCGGCCTTCCTTCGAGGCATTTCCCGTCACTCTGAAGCTGTTTGCACACCCAGCCCCAGACTGCCAGCTCCTTCTCAGGCCTGCACGTCCTGTCCTCCCTTTCAGCCACTGTCATCTTCCTGCTTCCTACTTCCCCCGCAACCTCTGCAGGAGTTGGACTCCCCCGGGGTGGAGGGGGTGGGGGGCCAGGGCCGAAGATAGCAGGTTAAACCGAGGGAAGGGCTCCCTGTCCCACTCCCTGGTCTCCTCTGTGACAGCCAAGCACCAGCCAGGACCCCCAGGCGTCCACCCTGTGCAGCCCTCCCCCAACATCATCTCCTCAAGGAATGTCCCTTTGGTGAAAGCTAAGCTCCTAGGGAAGGGGGATGGGGCATCTCAGGCAGGAGTGGCAGCATCAGAAAGGCCCCGGAAACCGAGCTGCAAGCAGATGGGAAGGGTTGGGGTGGAACAGGAGGAGACCACAAAGCAGGCTTGTTGGTGCCAAATTGGGGTCAGAGAAGAGAAAGGTACAGAATCCAGCTGGGGAGTCACCATATTCTCCCCCCTCCCCAGGGAGGGTGAGAGCCTGGACCTCCGGAGGCAGAGGGGAAGAGAGGAGGGTGTGAGTTTGAGAGGCAAGTGGAGGGCAAGACTTGGTTCCCAGGGAAGGGGGGAAAAGGAGGGTCTACATGAGCCATGGGTCTGCGGCCGGGAGGGCCAGGAGGCTGAAGATGGGGTGCCAGGAGGTAGGACAGGGGAGGAGCGAGCTCTGACTTGGACGAGGGGAATTGGGTGGGCCCCCCAAGGGAAGCAGTGCCCTGGGCAGTTGGAAACGTGGGTCTGCTCAGGAAGGGGGATGGTGGGTGTCGGGGGATGGGGAGGGGGTGGAGTTATTGTCTACGGGGGACCGAGTTCCAGTTTGGCAAAAAGGAAGGAACTCTGGGGATGGGTAGTGGGGATGGTTGCACAACAGCGCGGAGGTACATAATGCCACTGAACCCTTCACTTTAAAATGGCCAAACCGTTCAGCTTATCACGTGTATCTTACCACGATAAAAAAAATCGATTGAATCCTGAGATTAAAAGGCAGAGGTATTCAGATCGGTCAGAAAGATACACTATCGTGTCTGTAAGGAATTCTCTTTAAATATAGAGACACAGGAGCGCCTGGGTGGCCCAGCGGCTGAGCACCTGCATTCAGCTCAGGGAATGACCCCGGGGTCCTGGGATCGAGTCCCACATCGGGTTCCCCGCAGGGAGCCTGCTTCTCCCTCTGCCTGTGTCTCTGTCTCTCTCTGCTGTCTCTCAGGAATAAATAAATAAAATCTTAAAAAAAAATAGACACAGATACTTTGAAAGTCGAAAGTGGAAGAGATATCTCGCTATGTTAGCATCAAAGGAGGTTTCAGAGCGGGAGGTATTCCGGAGGATAAGGAGGTACAGATGATGCTCCCCATGGGCACCACAGCGGCGACAGCAGCACCAGGTGAGCATCCTGTCCCTCCCACCCCTGCTCCCCTGCCTCCTAGGCCTCCTCCTCCCTGTGTCTGCAGCCCAGCCGGCTCCCTGCACTTGTCGGCCCCTCCCTCCTTCCAGCCTCTCCCTCTTCCCTTCCCCTTCCCTCTTCCAGAGCCTTCCAGCAGCCATTTAAACAGGCCAGGGCCTCTGCCCTTGCCCCTGGCCCCTGGTCCTCCGCACAGCGAGCTCTGAGAACGATGAATCCAGGCCGCGGCGGCTGGCTTTGCTCAGTCCCTTACCTGCATCTCACCTGGGTTGGCAGCGCTCACCCCTCTTCGCCTGATGGCAAATTTCAATGTTTTCCTTTGTTGTAGCTTTATTGGGGGATAACCTATAAAAGGTCAACTTGCCGAATTTTAAGTGCACAATGTGATGAGTTTCTTTTATTTTTTAAAAGTTTTTTTTTTTTTTTCATGAGTGACAGAGGGAGAGAGGCAGAGACACAGGCAGAGGGAGAAGCAGGCTCCATGCAGGGACCCTGATGAGGGACTCAATCCTGGGTCTCCAGGATCTCGGCCTGGGCCCAAGGCAGAGCCCCCCAGGGTCCCATGTTTCAATGAATGCATGGAGTCACGCGACCACACGCCAACAATCATGGCACGGAGCGTTCCCACCTCCCTCAAAGCTTCCCTCATGCCTCTTTGTGGTCAGTCCCCTTCCCCAAGGCCCTGGCCCTGGGTGATGTAGGAAAGACGGGGTCCGAAGCCGATGGCCAGGAAAGAATTCTTGAGACATCTTTGATGCAAGGAGGTGATTTTATTAAAGCACGCGGACAGGACCCTGGGCAGGAAGAGCTGCACTGGGGTGGTGAGGAGTGGCCCTTTTTATGGTTTCAAGTTGGGAGGGGGTTGGGCTGGCACAGGTCTCTAAGGGATTTTGGAAGCAAGGTTTCCAGGACCTTGAGGGGCCAGCTGTTGTTGGGAAAGGGTCATTGATGACCATCTATTAAAACCTGAGTCATGAGACCCTCCAGATGTGTATCGGTGGGCCGTGTGCTTGGGGGTGATCGCCAACACACGTCTCGGGGGATTTAGAGATAGAGGGAATTTCTGTAGGAATTTTTATATGTTAAAGTAGACTCACAGGATCCTGGGGGTCGGACTAAGGTTCTCCTTTGCTCTCAGCAGAGTATCACATCGATGCAGCTGAGCTCCCAGAGAGGGTCACCCTGCCTCTTTCAAGGACTCATCAGTGGGCTGTAGGGAAGAAGATTTAATACTTTCTCTTCTCCATTTGTTTCCCACATCACTGGGGACCACCCCCCGCCCCCGCTGCAGTTTTGCCTTTTCTAGAATTTGTATCAACTGTATCATCAGTACTTAGCCTGCCACGTCTCCAATTTTCCACTCTGCCCAGTGCTACCAGTGTCTTCCTCATTGTTTCTGTATCAACACGCCTTCCCTCGGGGCCCAGCAGAACCCACTGTACGGACACCGGTGTTGTGTTGCGTTCACCAGCGACCCTTGGGTTCTTCCCACTCTGAGGTTTTTTCTAGTAGTGTTGCTGTTCATGCATAAGTCTTTGCATAGACCCGTGTTTTCATCGATCTTAGATTAACCCCTCGCAGTGAAATGCCTGGGTCCTACGGTGTGTGTTTTAGTGAATAAGAAACGGTCAAACTCCTTTCCAAAGTCAATGTACCATTTTGCATTCCCACCAGCAACGTGTGAGAATTCTGGCGGCCCCACATCCTTGTCCACACTTGGTACTGTCGGGCTTTTCTGTTTAGCCACTCTAGGAGCTGTGCAGTGATATCTCCTGTGGTTTTGATTTTATCTTCCATCATGGCTAGTGGTATTGGGAACCTGAGTCAGTCAGCTGCGGCTGCTATGATGAAACACCACAGACGGGGTGGGCGGTTGCTTAAAGAACAGACATGCATCTGTCACACTTCTGGAGTCTAGAAATCCAAGATCAAGGTGCCTGATTCAGTTCCTGGTGAGAGCCCTCTTCGTGCCTCGCAGATGGCCACCTTCTTGCTGTGTTCTCACATGGCAGAGAGCTCTGGTGTCTCTTCCTCTCTTTGTTAGGATGCTAATCCCATCCCGAGGGCCCTACCCTCGTGACCTCATCTATACCTAATCCCCTGTGAATCGGAGGGGAAAGTGCAGGTGCATGGGGGTGGTGTGGAAGGAAGACCCCTGGAGAAGCTATCACACTCAGACACCGACCCCAAGGCTCCTGGTGTCACTCCCTGTAGGACGTCCTCCCAAGCTCCACCTCCAGCTGGTCTGGCAAAGAGGGCCGAGCCCACACCAGCCCCCAACCCCAAAGCCCCTCCCCAAATCCAAGGCCGTCAAACTGTGACAACCCCAGATCTATCGGGCTATGTCATCCACGGGGGCCTGGAGCTTGGAACGCAAGGGAGAAGCCCAGCTGCAGCCCCAGGGTGCCCACAACAGCCCCGACCCCCGCCCACGGAGCCTTGCCCTGGCTGGTTCCCACCACATGTCAGCTACTGGGACAGCCGTGGTCAACCTCCTACGGGGACATATTCTTTGAGAAACGTGGGCAGCAAGTGCCAAGTCTCACCAGAGCAGGCAAGGTACCTCCCAGGACAGATGGGGGGAGCACAAAGATTTCTCCTTCATGACCTCCGGGCAAGGCTCTCTGTGACAGCTGTAGGGGTGGGCCTGGGCCACGGCTCCTCTGGTGAGTCACTGACTTAACTTCCCCAAGTGGCTCAGGGGCTTGGTTTTGGAGTCACATGGGGCTCCTGCCTCCAGAGGCCGATTCTGGGGCCCTTCACCCCAAGCGAGAGGCAGGCTGGCGGCAGCTGACTGTGGGCAGGCTGGGTCCTCTGGCCATCAGCCCGGACACCTGAGAGTCCTTTCTGCTCCCAAGTCAGGCCCTAGAGCCCGAGTGGAGGTCAGCATGGCTGGGCCTCAGCTGCTCTGGCAGGTGCCCCCACAGGTGCCCTTGGAGGTGGGACTCTGAGCACCGTCCAGGCCGGGCCCCATGGCAAGGGGAGCTGCGCTGGGGGTGAGGGGCCTCAGCTCATACACATGCAGATTTTAACTGCATCTCCCAGGACACTGCAGGCTCCTGGGATCCCTCCCAGAAATGCGCTTGTTAATATAAACTGAGTGAGGCCAGGCTGGCTCAGAACAGATCCATGCCTAGTGAATTCAGATTCTCAGATGGAAACGGGACGGGGGGGGGGGCGGCGGGGCAGGCATGCGGGGGACACACAGGGGACAGGGCCGCTGGCCGCCAGATGGGAGGCCCCTCTGTGGCCCTTGGGCCTTCGCTGGGGCAGCAGGCAGGTGCCAAGAAGCAGCTTTGGGGGCTGGCGACAGTTAATTTGGGGATCCACAGGGTGTGCTGCTGTCTCTGCCTTCTTTCAGCTTATGCTTTTGAAACAAGCTGTAGAGGACCCGCAGAGTGCTCTTGGCATCCTTATTCACGATGTCTGTGGGCCAGAGAAGAGCAGGACAGCTGGTCAGACCTCAGCCAGGCTGAGCAGGGGGTGACCTGGGACTGAGAGGCTTCCTGGGACATGGGACTTCAGTGCTAAACCCCAGGGAATCCCTGTCAAACGAGACACATCACATGGCCCTGCCTCCCTCCTCCTGCCACCCGCTCCACCCCTGCACCACACACGCAATTCCTCAAGGTCTCATCTGCCTGGACAACCTGCCCTGGTGTCCCCAGTCCCCTGTGTTCTCTCCCCGGGACCCTCCTCCAGTGGGCAAAGCATCCCTGTCATGGGAAACCCTGATAGACACTCCTCATCTGTCATGCCAAGCGAGAGGACCACAGGCTGTCCCCCGACGCCACAACACCCATGTGTGCCGCACACTCACCTTCAGGGTTGACGGGGTAGGTGAGCAGACCTTCATCCTTCAGCAGATCCAGGGCCAGGGTGACATTGTGCAGCTGTGAAAGATGCCACCAGACATTAGCAAAACGAGGTAGCCCCAACCCAGGCCCAGGTCCCCAAGTACCAGGCCCACCCATCCCTCATAACATCCAGCAGCCCTCAAGGAGGTCATCTCCAGCGGGGAAGGTGATTATGGAGAGGGGCATCCAGTCCAGAGGCAGGGAAGGCTTCCTGGTGGAGGTGACACCTAGAGGTAAGTCCCACCAGGGGAGGGGACTCCGCCAGGCTTATCTCCACCTTTTCGGATGCGGCCCCAGCATCATGGGCAACGGAGGCCCCATTGGAAACAGCGGAGTTCCAGGGGGCACAGCCCAGGTGAGAAGAGCAAGGCGCGGAGTGGCCCAGGGGCTCACCTGAGCTTACCAGACAGAAAGTGGCAGAATCAGGTCCGTCTCACTCTGCCGTCCATGCAGAGCAGGCTGGAGGCCGGAGCAGCCACCCCTGCCCAGTCGCACATGGGCTCAGATCTCTGCGCGGGCACGGGGTGACCTCCCACAGTTGCTCAGCACCCCCAGCCTACCTCATGCACCTGCAGAGTGGAGTTGCCACCATTTCCCCCCGTATCTGGCTCTGGGACGCCAGGCGGGAGCCCAGGGGAGCCCTGACAGCCGTTGGCTTGGAGCACATGCTCTATTAGCAGTTTTCTCTGTTCGTGGTTCCTGTCTCCCTTGGGCCGCAACACGATCCAACAATCCCCGCCCTTCTTGGGGCAGGGGCCTGGCACGGGGTGAAGCGGGACGGAAGCCAGTTGCCCAAGTGGTTGGACCACAGGATCCACTTGTCATGGAGCACCTCATGGGACCAGGGTTTCAGAAACACTGTGTCCATTCGTTTCATTAGAATATATTTATTGAGCATCTACTACGGGCTGGCCGTGCAACAGGGGAGAAAGCAGACCCCCTCCCTGCCCCCGTGGAGTCGGCGCTTTGTGAACTGCGTTGCGACACTGTTAAAACGATCACACTTGCTTCATTCCTCAAGCCCAGCCTCGACCTGAGCCCGGAGGATCCGCTGCAGGCTCCAGAGATGTCTCGCCGAGCTCCACCTGCAGTGTAACACTTCCTTTCTGTGCACAGCTTGAGATTATAAAAGTAGAACCACCGCGTCGTCGCACGGAGCTGAGGGCAGATTGTAATCCAGGAGGATGCACTCGAATCCTCCCCGGGAGAAATAATTGAATGTGGGAGGAAGCCCACGATTCCCGGCACCAGGGTTTTGACTTCTGCAGAGCAGACGGGTCTGGTAATGAGACATCCGATCTCAAGGGGCCACTGTACCAGGATAATAATGCGCCCTCGGGTGTCCGTCCCACGGGCAGAAAGGGCTGTGGTCCCCGCCTTCTTCAGCTAATGACCTCCTCAGCATTTTGATCATACGTTCCTGCAGCTGAGATTTCCTACGAGGTCCCATAAGATTCGTTCTCAGGGTCTGAGCCGAGAGGCTGCTTCTCCGCCCCCATATAGGTAATGTGGCTCCTATGGGGAAGCCGGGTCTGACATCGGGGGATTCAGTGGGCCGATGGCTTGTAACTGGGGTTTGCGAGCATGCGGAATATCGGGCAGAGGCTTCAAAGTCCCATGAAGCCCAACACCCAAGTAACAAAAGGGGGCACGTGTCCTGCTCGGGGTCTTGGTTCTGAGCCCCTTCCTGAGGCTCCCCGGCCTGCGTGTAGGCCACACTGCTCCATCTTCCCGCCTCCTCCCACATCTCTGTGTTCTGCCTTCTGGATGCGGGGTCAGCAGCACCACTTCGGCTGGGTTCTGACCCTCCTGGGCCCTCTGAGGGGCCCAGCTCTGGGCAAAACCCCTTCCTGGCTGGAGAGAGGCTCATACTCCTCGGTCTCCCACAGGGCTCACCCTGACTCCCCAGGAGGGAAATGGAGAGGCAGCCCAGACTCTGGAGGCGGACAAACCCGGGTGCAAGTCTGACCTCTACCCTGCCCTCTGTTCTAACTGGTATAGGCTCGTGACCAGCTTTCTGTCTGGTCCTCATACAGAACTCGTACCCTCATCTGAGAATGGGGATGGGAACAGCTCCTACCTTAGGCCCAGCATGATGAGGAGTTAGCGAGTTCACCCCCTTGCCTGCGGGAGAACACCCTAGTGGCCCCTGTTCTCGGCCCTTTCTGCACCCACACACTTCGTAGGCGCTCCTGCACCCCCGCCAAGGCCCAGGGCCTCCCAGGCCAATGGGATGAGAGGGAAGCGATGGCACTGCTCCTTCTGAGCCTGGGCCTCATGGGTTCTGCTTAGTCCCCTGTGTCTCTGCCATTCCCATAAGAAAACCATGCTGGGCTTGCCGCTGGTCCCAGGAGGACGGTGACAGGCACGTAGCACAAAGCTGAAACAACCCTCCCCCCACAAGCTGAACCCAGCCAAGTCTATACCAGCCAAACTCAGCCTACCTGCAGATCCCTGGGAATACACGATTGTGGTATTCATTAAGCCACCTGTTGTCCAGGTGGTTTGTTACACAGTGTTTCTGGGGCAATAGCTGACTGATACAGCTCAGAAGTGAGTGCTGACCACTGTCCTTGCTACTACCACCAGAAACACAAACACTGCATAGCTCCAGCCTCTTTGCTCCTCATCCTAGATCCAAGCTCTTGAGAATCAGAGCCGTGAAGCAGTCTCCAAGTCAAGAGCACCCCTGCCTCCTGGGCAGGGGGAGGTCATGCCCATTAACGATTGCATCTCCATGGTGCAAGGGGAGGGGCAGCAGCTGTGGGTCAGAAGGCCGGTGCCAGTGTCAGACCTGCCACTGAACCACAGAGTGGTCCTAAGTGCTAGAGCCTCTCAGGGGCTCTGCTTTCCCCTTTGTAAGATGGAGATGCAACCCAGCTAAGCAGGCTGGAACAAAGGCAGGTAAGCAGAGGGAGAGGGACCACCTGGGCAAAGACCTGGAGATGCCAGAGGACCAGGCCTCCAAAGGCCGTGGACAGGCCAGGAGGCCGTGGCCAGGAGTCTGTGGACACGGACAGGGCTAGGGGTGCATGTGGGAGGGGCCTGGACGGAGGGCCCTGGTTGGGGAGGGGGTGGCCGGGCCAGCCCAGAACCTCACAACCCTCAGGCAGGCCACAGGTCTGATCATCCCCAGGACCACGGCAGGGGGGGAGGCTGTGCGTGGGGACACAGGCAGACCTGCCACTGTCACCAGCATTGCCTTCTCTCCCCTACTTCCCCGGGTCAGACCACAGACCCTCCTGCCCGGACTGGTGCAGCCATCCCCCAAGCAGCCCGCCAGCCTGCAGGGTCCCCATGGGGTCTCCTGACTCCCACAAGGCCAGACCCCTGCCTTCCCCAGCCCACCCCTGCAGCAGGACCACACCACAGATGGATACCATCCTGAGAGTTCCATGCTTCTGTCCACACCTGAGCCTTTGCTGATGCCATTCCCTCCCCTGGGGGTGCCCTCCCTCTGCAAACCAACACGTGTCTCCTCTCATACAGTGCCCTTCCTGACTCCTTCAGATCATACCAACCACCCCTTCCTTCAGGTCCCCAACTGACCCACCCACCCTGAACCAACACAGTTTACTGTAGCCCTGGGGAACCATACATCACCAAGAGTACAGTGGGTATAGACTGAGAGGCCTTCAACAACAGGAGCTGTGTGGGATTGTCCTTATGGCCCACACGGCACAGCCTGACACTAAGCAGGACCTCAAGAAATGAGGGATCAGGTGCAGAGGCAGATGGGGGTGAATGAGTGGGTAGATGGATGGATGGGTGGGCAGGTGAATGGGTGGGTGAACTGGGTGGATGGGCAAATGGGCAAGTCAATGGATAGCTGTGAGGATGGATGGAAGGATGGAAGGATGGATGGATGGATGAATGGATGAATGGATGAATGGATGGATGGATGGATGGATGGATGGATGAGGGTGGATGGGTGGGTGGATGGACAGATAGATGAATAGAGAAATAGGCAGATCAGTGGATGGGCAGGCAGATAAATAGTTGTATGACTTGGGTGGATGGTAAAATAGGCAAGTCAATGGATAGGTGTGAGGATGGATGGATGGATGGATGGATGATGGTGGACGGGTGGGTGGATGGACAGATAGATGAATAGAAAAATAGACAGATCAGTGGATGGGCAAGCAGATAAATAGTTGCATGAAATGGATGGATGGGTGGATACGTGGACAACCAACCAAACTTCCCCTCCCCCTTTGCCTTTGCTTCACCTGGAAGTAAATAAGGAGACCGTATTGCAGCTTCCATTCAGGAATAGACCATCAAGGAAACCTCTGGAAAACTTACCATTTCCGCAGGAGAGGTGGGAGTGAGGTAAAACTCCTTCAAGTGCAGGAAGAAGCCTTCCAGTTGTCCAATCAGCAGGAGTAAGAAGACCCCGTCTGCAAACTGCAAAGGAGAGCACTGGAGGCAGGAAGCCCAGGGCCCCTGTGCTGCCACCTGCGGGGCCGCGTGGTGCTGGGCACCGGCGTCTCTGGGTCTCAGCTGCCTTTCCTAAGACGTGAGGACAACATCCCCCGCCCTGCGGTGTGCTGTGAACCACAGCGGCAGCTCCTAGGAGGCGCTTTACTGGCTGCCCGGCACACAGCATACGCTCAATAAAACCAGCTCTCTGCACATTATCCGTGAAATAGCCCAATATCGTTTTTTAAGCCACGTACTGCTCCCTGAGCTGCAGCAGCACAGGAGAAAACAGAGTTGAGTGTGAAATTATTCCGCAGGGAGAGGCAGAGAACAGCACGCCAGGCTCGTTTTGCGGCTGCCACATTAATATTTCTGCCCTGTTCGGTCTGCACGTGCAGAGATAAAGCCGTCGCCCCGCCGCCAGCATATCATATGCTAGCATAATCCTATTCAATCTCTTCAAAGATACAAAACACAAGATTGGATATTGGAGGAGAAACCACCGCTCGAAGTCCTTAATAGAATTTCCTCCCATTAGATCTGTTTTGATGTTATTAGTTCGGCCTGAAATCTTTTCCGCCGATCTTCCCCAGAAATACCCCTAAAGACCAGAGACTTCAACTTCTCCCCTTATCTGGCAGTCTCTAAATACCGTCATCCTATCATTATTTTCACAGCGCCTTTCCTCCCCCCCAAGGGGGAGATAAAGACGAAGCAGGTAAAAATGGAAACCTACAGGATCCTCCTGTGTTTGCCCACATAAAATATAATAAAACCACAAACGCATCATTTACGGCATGTCCGCGGCGTGCCAGGTCCCACGGAAAACACCAGAGGCTCATCATCTTATTTATCGCTCCCAATTCTATGAGGCTGGTGTCCTTAAACTCATTTTAAAAGAAGAGGAGCCTGAGGTTCAGAGACGTCCCAACCCAGGCCACGCAGAAAATGTGAAGGAGGCATCCTCGCAGACCAGAGGCCACACGGGTGCATCTGGTATCCGTCAGGTTCAGGGCCTGGCATCTCCAGCCTGCCAAGTCACCACACACATCACACAGGGGCCTCTCATGGCCACTGTGTGACATGGTGATGAGCACAAACTGTGGCCTCGGCACCCTGGATTCAAATCCCAGGTCGCCCGCTCTTAGTGCTGTGCGACTTTGGATGAGTCAGTCAGCATCTCTGTGTCTTAGGGTCCTTCCTCATCTATAAAACGGGGGAGCACCTGTTCCCACCGCAGGGACCGTCTGGAGGATTCGGCGAGTTACCGTAGGCAAAGCACCTTGCTCAGGCCCTGGCACAGAGTGAGGGCTTTATTGGCTTCAGGTACCAGGCACCCCAATCCTCGCCGGCTGATGTCAGGGTGCATCTGGCTGGGATCACCGTAAGCCAGGGAGTCCACCGGGGACCAGACCCGACTGCCACCTCTGGCCCCCACCGCCTCCTGGCTGCATGAGCAGAAAGCAGCCGGCCCAGCGCCCCTACGGCCATGGCCAGGTGATGTGTCCAGTGTCCAGCAGCCCTGTCATCACCCGAAGGCCTGGGGCTGACGATTAGCCTCTCTCAGGCTCTCCGATCCCCTCTGTGCTGAGGGAACACGACAGGCCCACGGTACCCGGCGGAAGGCCGAATGGGTAAGATTCCAGTCCTGCCCCATGGCGGGACTTGGAGGGCTGGACCCCCAAGGACCCACGGAGGCAGGGCTGTGGCAGCAGCTACGAGAGCGCCTAGCGCATGGCACGAGGGGAGCCCCCCCCAGCATTGAGGAACCTGCGGTCCCTGCCTCACCGGACCCCACGGTGTCCCTGGCTGGTGAGGCTGCCTACCAGCGACACCGCCCCACTGCGGCTGGGGGAGGACCCCAAGGCTCCAAGACCCCACACATCCTGGGGTCACACAGGGCCGGGCTCCGGCTGCCAGCACCCCACGGGACCCGCCTCCTCACCTGCACCCCATGGCCCTTCCCCGCCTGGGGGCCCCACAGCCGAAGCCCTACCTGGGTGTCCAGATTCTGCACAGACAGGCCCAGGCGGTCCAGCTTCTGGTTGACGAAGTTCACAATGGCCTACCCAGGGAAGAATGAGGACCTCAGGCCCAGGGCTCGGGTGTCCCTCCTTCCCACTGCGGGGGGCAGAAAGCTCTCCCCGTGTAGTGTCCCAGGCACAGCAGGTGAGAGGCGGGGGGCTTCGTTCCCTCCCCGTCACCCCAGGACACATGGGGCAGACGGGCAGGGGAGCCACTGGGGGCTTGGCTCTCTCTTACCTCTTTCACCGTGTTCACTTTCTCCGGAGCCAGCTTAAATAATTCATCGAAGACGTCCTCTGCAGACAGATCCAATAAACACCGCATCACGATGCTGTTATCTCGGCGCCAAACCGGGACGTATTTCCATACAAGGTTCTCGGGGTATCCAGCCCAGAGGGAGCTGTAGCTCCGGCGCGCGGTTCTTGAATTAAATCAACGGGCCTGGGTCTGTGTCGCTGCTCCCAGGCTGTGAGACCCCGGGGGAACCGCCTCCCCTCTCTGTGCCTTGGGGTCGGAAAAAACCTACTAGATGGGGCCATGGCACATTTGGTGGCAGGTGACACACTTGGGCGCACAGTAGGGCACTCGTCCCGTCTGTGGCGGATGCCCATTGCACCCGCTCAGCCAGCACCCCTCCTCCTCCGGGAAGCTGGCCTCCCTCCTGCCAGCCCCCCCTCCCCCGACCCTGCTCCATGTGCAGGTCCACGGAGCGGCCTTGGGTGGCTGAGCCGAGGCCGGCCCCACACTGACACTCGGCCCAGAGGTCTCCTCCCCAGCATCTCTGGATTGGCAGAATGGGGACGTGGAGCCTGCATCGTGCAAAAGGCCAACGCTCTCGGCAGCTGAGTCATGCCTGCGAGGTTCGGAAACAAAAGAAGCATCTTGGCAGCTCGGCAGCTCAGGCCTGGTCCTGCCTCAGACGCCCAAGTCCTCAGACAAAAGCCCGTTTTCCCTACAAGCTGTCTTCCTAATATCTGTAGCCCACATGCTCCCCCCGCCCCCCGGGGGGAGACTGGTCCTCAGGCACCGAGCTGGCTGGAAGAAATCACCTTCTCAGCTGCCGTGCAACCCTGAGCAGGTCACTTCACTTCTCTGTGCCTCGGTCCCCTCATTAGGGGAGGGTGAAAGGTAGCACCAGATAGCACCATGCCCTTTAAAATGCACCCACAAATGTGGTGGAAGCACCAAGCGGTTCCTTCCAGACCCCTTGGCCTGTGGTCAGGGGAATCGTGTCCCCGAAGGAGCCAGGAAGTGAAAGGAAATGTGCGCTCAGTTGACATGAGCCAGAACAGCATGAATGTGCTAGAAGGGGTTGTGAGGAGGCCCTGCTCCGTGTCCCTGCCCCTCATCGTGTGACCCACCCTCGTGCTGCCCCCTGACAAGAGCTGCTCCCTGACCAACACCCCCTGTCCTCACGCTGCCCTACACACACACACACTCACCTTCACCTCCCCTCTCCTCCCTCCACCCCCACATCCTCCCTCAGTCTGTTTTCCAAATCCCCTCACAGGTGATTATTTCCACCTCTGCGGGTGGGGGGGTGCCCCTCATGGAAGGCCCTGTCCCTACAGCAATGTGTCCTCAGTGGAGAGGGCCCAGGGAGGAAAATCATGTTGGTTGGATGGATGGATGGATGGATGGATGGATGGATGGATGAGGGAGGCATGGTAGGTGGGTGGGTGGCTAGATGGAGGGGTGGGTGGGTGGGTGAGTGGATGGATGGAGAGATGGACAGATGGATGGTGAGTGGGTGGATGGACAAACAGCTGACCAGGCCAACCGACTGCAGGATGAATGAATGAAAGAAGGAATGGCTGGACCAATCCGTCAATGGGGGAAGAGGTGTGTCACAAAAGCAGTAGCCATGTCACACACCAGCCGCGATGAGGCATCCACGCTGTGCCAGGCGCATTCACAAATTATCTTCCAACCCTCATCGCCTCATCACCAGCCAAAGGGGACAACACCCAGCAAGTCACCCTTCGGGGACGCATCCGAGAGGAAAAGACCTGGAGTTACGAAAGTACTCACTTGCCAGCTGGTCCTTTTCTGTGCTAAAGGGAAAATTGTAGGGGAAGAAAGGCAAAGAAATGGTTAAAAAACAAAACAAAAAACATCTTCAGACTCTAGTTTCTTTGTGTGACGGGACTCGGCGCTGGCAAGGTTGACAAGGAGGCTGGCAGCCTCCGTTGCCCCTGGCAGCCTTGTGACCAGGCAGGGAGGGCCCTTGCGGGGAGCAAACGGAAGGAAGAGGCCCGGGCCCTTCCCTGGAGGCTTCCTCACCTAGTTGTGTCTGGGTTTTGTCATTTTGATGGTTGTCATTTTAGTTGGGGCAGGAGGCGTTACCCGTGCAACAAAACACGCAAATGGTGAGTTTCTCGCGGGTGCGTTCCTACATAATGCCTGTGTGATGGGCACCCCAAGGAGACACAGACCCATCCTAGCACCCCAGGGCTCTCCCCCCCGCCCCCGTGACCCCACTCCCCCGAAGCAGGATTACCACCGCTGTGCTTCTTCCCACCGAGCGTTCGTTTTGCCTGTCTGGGAGTCCACGTCAGTGAAAAATCGCATAGTACGCACTCCTCTGTGTCTGGCTTCTTTCACTCTGTTTTTCTTGTCTTGAATGGTTTTTCTTTGACTTTGTGTTAAATTTTCCACACCAGCCCCGCCCCTCAGAAGCAGGGCTCTGGGCCCCCAGCAGGCCAAGCGGTTGCCGGAGAGCCGGGTGGCCCGTGCTGTGGCCTTCAGGATAGGACTGGGCCGCGTGGGGTAGAGGCCGCCTGACGCGGAGACCAAGAGCTCATCAGCATGAACCAGGGTGTCTGAGGGAGAGACGCCCCCGTGCTGCCTGAGACTCTGGCTGAGAGCCAGAGGTGAGCCCTCTCGGAGCTCCGAGTTCATAAAGGGGCTGAGAAGGATGATTGTAGGACCACAAGGGGGGCAGGCATGTAGTGCCTTCCCACTTGAGTTCCCCCAAACTCGTTTCTGGACCCTAAGGCTTTGGCCTTGGAGGAGGCGCCCGGTCAGGGTTGCTGAGCCTCTGGGTGACCTCACTGAGTCAGAGGCTTCTTCCCGGGATGCCCTGGGGAAGGTTCAGTGTGTGCCCAGGACCCCCTGGCATGAGGAGCCAGCACCTCCTGACCTTTTCCCTGCTCCGCACACATGCTTGGGTCACAGTGGATGCTGGTCATCGACTTTCCATTGGTTGAAGTACCTCCCACCCCCCACAGGAGCCAGAGACTGGAGGGATCCCAGGGTTGGAGGGAGTCCAGGTGGGGGAAGGCCCCCTTGCACACATTACCTATAACCTCACAGCAGCCCAAGAGGTAGGAATGGGCCCCCATATTTCAGAGAAGCAGAGGCTCAACACAGGGGGAGGTGACTTGTCCAAGGTCACACAGCTCATATACTCACGAGGGCGAGCTAAGCCCAAGTGGGGCTGCGTGTCAAGCCTGTGAACTAGAGAGAACTGACTCCCCTAGCTAGGCTCTGTGAGGGTCAAACGGGTCACAGGGGCGACACAGCCCAGCGTCCTGCATGGAGTGGGCCCTTGGCAAATGCTGGGCTAGAGAGGAGAACGTGTGACTTCCTGCAAGTGGCCTAGGAACCCAGGAAGCCCTGGGCAGCGCTGCCCAGGACGGCAGAGGGAAGGGCTCGTTGGCAGAGCATCCTGCTCGTCCAGACAGTTGGAAGGTAAACAGCTGGCTGACATGGGCACTCAAGGACAGAGCCTCCCGCCTGCACATAGTAGGCACTCAATAAATGCTGGTGGTATGGGGAGTGTTTGGTGCGCTTGTCTCCGGGTGCTGGGAGGCCAGCGGGGTCCTGCCATCCTGTTACAACGTTTGTGCTCTGCTGTAGCATCTCCCTGCCATGGATGATTCCCTCATCCATACCCCACACTTGGTAAAAGGGAAGTCAACATGGCATCGGGGCCCTATGTCCCCAGGTCTGGATTCCTCCTGGCCCCCAGTGGTGTGACCTCTGGACTGGGAGCCACAGCTTCTAACCACAACTCTGCCTGTTTTGTTGGGTTGTGCAGAGGACAAAATGAGCTGGCTGGGGTGGGCATGCCCAGCAGCCCAGGAAGGGCCATGCCCCGCGAGGGCCAGCACGATGGAAGGGCTCCCAGAAAGACTGGGGGGTCAGCCATAGCCTCTAGGGGCTGAAAGGAAGCTAGAGGGGTGTGAGGGCCCCTCCCACAAAGTCAGGTAGATCGGCCCCCGGCCCCAGGACACACTGCCCATTCCCCAGAAAGCATAGCCTGGCATCTGCTGTGGGCCCTGGTTCCCCCTCACCTGCATTCAGTGAGCTGTTCCACTGACTTCTCTGACTTCAGGCCACTTTTGGTGCTCTAAGAAAATAAAAAGGGGTTAGAAATTGAGTAATCCCAGAAAACTCGGGGACCCACACCAGCCACTAAAAGACATAGTGGCCAGAGCAACGCCAAGGAACCCAGCTCACTCTACACCTCATCCCCTCCTCAGCGTGGCTCCTGGACAGCTCTCATCATGGTGGCCTGGCTCAACTGTCTTTCTCATGAGCCTTGAGTCTCACAAAGAGGAGGACAATGTCTGTCTTATTCCCCAGGTGTCCCCGGAGTCTCACCCAGTGCCTGGCTCACAGTCAACGAACATGAGTTGATCTGAATAATGAATGAATGATGACCAGATGGATGCGTGGATGGATGGATGGATGGATGGATGGATGGATGGATGGTAAATGACTGGGTAAATGGATGGATGGATGGATGGATGGATGGATAGGTAGATGGGTGAGTAGACAGGTGGGTGGATGGATTGATGAATGAATGAATGAATGAATAAGTGAAGGAATGAAGTCACCTATGATTTATATAAGAAGTATAAACAAACTCATGACACGGGAGTCCTGACTTAGTAGAGAATTTTAATCAATGGTTTTGATAAAAGTAAGAATGATTTCACCTGAGGGAAAAGTAAGCTCCAGGACAGGATGCCCCATTGCTCACCAGGTACTCAGAGGTTGGGGGAGGGATTAACGGGGAGCAGGAGCAGGTGGGGGCCCCATGTGTGGTGCTCAAAGTCTGCCTGAGTGAGAAGCCGTGGGCTCTGGGGACATGAACTTCAATGCCAGTTGTGAGTGCGCTAGAGCAAGGGGGCCCTGGAGGTGGAGGAACCCAAGAAGGCTCCCTTGTGTGGTCACAGCCATTTGTAGAGAACAAGGGACACCACCAGTGATGGCAAGGCTGCGAAGGCTCCCAAGAGGCCATGAATAGATGATCACTTATGGCCCGTGTGACATGGTTGCCATCAGCCAGGACCTTCCTGACAGCTCCAGGCAGATGCCACCCGCTGATCTCCCTGCGGCCACCCCAGACTCCCGACATCTCCCACCCACGGTCCCAGCCCAGCCCCCACAGCTGTCCTGGAGGGACATGATCTTTCTCGAGGGAGGTTCAGCCCCCTTCCATGCAGCACCCCCCAATCCAGGGTATGGCGATATGGACCCAAATGCTCAGCCTATACACAGGGGTCCCCTGGCGCCCAGCCTCGTACCTCCATGGTGATCACCTCCACCCGGACATTGGTCGGGAGGGGCAGGTCAGGCTGGAAGCGCTTGGCCAGGGCCACGAGCAGATGCAAGGTGGCCAGCAGGTCCTTGCTGAAGATGGCTGGGAGGGGAGAGGGCACAGGTCAGAGCCAAGCGGCCACACGGAGGCCTCCTTGTTATCACAACCACCCTCTGAAGACCAAGGAGCTCTGTGTCCAGCCTTCTGGAGGGGAGAGGTCTGGAGACATTCTTTCAGAACTCGAAACTGTCACCCTTTGCCCTCGTCACCCCACTCTGCTAATGCAGCCCACGGGCACAAGCCACCTCGTGGACGGGACTTCAGACACAGAGACAGTCACTGCGGACAATTGTGAGCAACTCAATGCCCTACAGTGGGGGCCCTGGCTGAAGAAGCTGCTGGATTCAGATGAGTGTGACTTAATTCAGGGCAATGTTATACACACTGGGCATTGAAAGTGAGTTTTTAAACGTGGTGGTGAAGGCAGCGACATGAGACCCAACAAGAACTGGGCTTGAGAACAGCTCCATCATCACCCCCAGCCCTGGAGCAGGTACTGAACCCCCTTCAGCCTCAGTGCTCTCATCTGGCAAAGGGGAGGGAGGCGGGGACCCAAACGGCGGGAGCGTCACACCGCACTGCTCACGGGCTGGGGTGGGGGTCTGGGTGCTTTGCTCGCTCTCCTTTCTCACAAGCCAGCACTGCAGGGATTACTTAAATCAGTTAATGAGAGAGGTGGGTAGCACCCATCCGACAGGCTGAGTGGGGGCGCACGGGGCCTGGAACTCCCAACAGGGGCCGCATCGTTGGCTGCGGTTACATCGCGAAACGTTGTGCTTGGCTGCAGCACAACACCGTGGTAGGGAAGGGTGTAGGGCTGCTTGCACCCAGCAGGTGCATGACTGCCCAGGAGGCTGTGCCTCTGCTTCTCCCAAGCCCCCAGGGTGTCCCCACACCAGAGGCAGGTGAGCACACCCACTGGGTAAGCAGAGGCCTGCGGCAAAGGGACCCAGGTGCCCCCACCCTCTCCTGGACCCCCTGGGCCCCCTGGGCGCCCTAGACCCTGCCCCGGTCCAGGCCTCACATACTTGCCACGCTCCACTTGAGCTGCTGCTCCCCCACCTGCAGACTGCCGTTGACGGCCTCGAGGACCACCTCGAGCTTGCGCCTCTGGCTCGGGGCGGTCAGGGCCATCTCCTCCACTTCCAGCTTGAGCCCGGTCAGTGTCTCTAAGGGCAGGAGAGAGTGGGAGAGGCCCAGGGAGGGAGTGGAGGGAGAGGCACAGGGAAGCAAAAGAGGGAGGAGGAGGGGAGTGAGGGAGGGGGAGCACGGGGGGTGGCACCCCCACCACTAGCTGTGTGACCTGAGCCACACCCTCTGAGCTGCCCTCCACTGGCCACCTCACCCTGACCACCCGGTGCCCACTCCCCTGGCCTTGGGCACAGCTCTATACACTTCCTTCCTGCAAGGCCGTGTGGCCTAGACTCCTAGGCTCAGATCCTGACTCCCCTGCCTTCTTCACTCTGAGACCTCGGACAAGTGACTAGGCCTCCCGGTGTCCTCATCTGTAAAATGGGGACAGGACAGGATGGGGTTGTTCTGAGGATGAACTGCGCCTGCTCCGTGGCAGGGGCTGTGGAAGGGGCCGCAGGCCGGCGGAGGACCGAGATCAGCCCCACCTGCGCCCTCTGGGACCTCATAGCTTTGTGCAGAAGGCAGGTGTGTAGGGCAAACCTGACATCTCAACAGCAAGGGGGATGGGAACTGGGGGCAGGTAGGGGGGCCTGGCTGGGGTCAGGAGGCAGCCCTGAGAGCGAAGCCACCCTGGGGAGCACGAGGGGTTTCCAGACTGAGACGGGGCACCCGAGGAGCCCAGGCCGCCTCCACCTGTCCAGGTCACTCTATACATGACATTTGGCAGGGGCAGGGGGGTGAGGCTGGAAGGCCCGAGCAGCCTTGGGAGCCACCACTTACGGAAAAGGTGGTGCAGGATGAGCCCATCGAATATGTCCTCCTCCAGGCTGCGGACCACGATGTGCTCTGGGAGGAGCTTGGCATTAATCCACTCCATCAGGACCTGCAGACGCCCAGGTGACAGCTGACCGGGACCACTCCTCACCTGGGCCCCCACCTGGCTTGGTTCTGACCTCGGCCTGGAACGCCCTCCTCCCACCTGCCAACTCCTACCCGTCCTTCAAGGCCAGGTCGAATGTCACCAACGCTGGGAAGCCCTCCCTGCTCTCCCGGGCTGAGTTGGGGGCCCGCTCTGGGCTCCCAAAGACCCTCCTCCACCTCTCTTCACCAGGGACCTGGGCTGGTGGGGCTGACTGGTCCTGTGCCAGGGGCAGGTGCCGGGAAGCTGCTGTAACAGGTACGTGAAAGTGGGGAGGTGGCCATAGAACAGGATAAGGGGAAGAGTCTCGAAGGGCCTCGCTAGCCAAAGCCTAAGCTGCCCCAAAGAGGCTGTCGGTGGGGACGTGAACCCTAAGCAGGTGCGTCTGGTGAGAGCTCAGGACAGGAAGGACACGATACTGAGAACACGGTGGAGGCCCCGTGACCAGGGAGGCAGAGGCTGTAGGGGCGCGTCTACAGGCCAAGGGACCCAAGGGTTGTAGGGGCCTCCTGACACCGGGAGAGAGGCCTGGGATGGGGTCCTCCTTGGAGCCTCCGGGAGGAACCCCCTGCCCACACCCCAACTTAGGACTTCTGGCCTCCAGGCTGAGACACAATCTCCTCCTCTTGCTTTAAGCTATGGGGTTTATTATGGTGCCGAGTGGCGGCAGCCCCTGGACACCGGCACAGACTACGACCATGGTGCACACCCCTGCTCCTCCTGCAGCTCTGCCCGGGCACCCACCCTGCCTGGGCTCCAGAGGCCAGAGGGGCAGGAAGCGGAGCTCCGTGCCTTTAAGGGAGCAGCACCAGCTACTCCAGAGCAGGTGAGTAACCCCCCAGCTCCTCTGCCCCTGCACCTGCTCCCAGAGGGCCCAGCAGGCCTCAGCTCCTGCCCCCGTGACCCCTTCCCTCCCCATCTCCCTTCCCCACTTGCTTTCCTTGTCTCCGGCTATTACCCGCCTGACCCCGTACTTGCACCCAAAGCCTTGTCTCAGGATCCGCTCCTGGAGGAGCCCAAACTAAGACGTGTCAGCACCCCATCAGGTTTTCCAGGAGGCACCGTGCTGGTTCTACTCTGTGTCCTGGTGCCTGATGGTGGGAACAGGTGGGATGGAGGGAGTGAGGGAACTCGGGGTGGGGGAAGCAGAAGGGAAGGGATGCGAGATGGCCACAACCTGGGGATGGAAGGTGATGCAGGAGGCAACAGAAAGGCCTGAGGAGACCGGAGAAGTAGGACAGAGGGAAACGGGGGCCTGAGCCTGCCTGTGCTCAGCTGGTCCAGCAGCCGCAGCAGCAGACTCAGGGCCAAGGAAAGCCCCGGGTGACCCGGGTGACCCACGCCTGTCCCGCCCATTTTGCCAGCTCTCCGTTGCCTTGAGCAGCCGAGCAGGTGAAAGTGCACAGGGTGTAGGGCCTGGGTCAAACTCCAGCTGTGGCTAGCCACTGGCCAGCCTTGTGTCCCCCACACGTCAGGTGGCCCCTCCGAGCCTCACTATTCGCTCTGTGGGATGCAAAACAGCAGATCCCTCTCAACCATCTTGAGGCTTGTAGGGGCCATCTCTGAAGGCACAGTCGCTGCTCAAGAAATGTTCCTCCGCCTAGGCATTCAACAGATCTCCCAGGGACCCGCAGGTTTGCCCCCCCCAGCCTGAGGTCAGAGAGGGGAGGGGTGCCCGCTATCCCTCCCCCAAGAAGATGAACAAACTGCCTCCCGGGAAATCAGGAGAGACCACAGGAAGTTGCTGTACCTTCTGCAGTTCTTCAAATTTGGGATCCCCCCGGGACGTGGGCGGCAGGTATTTCTTCTTTTCTCCTGGAAGCAGAGGGAGCATGACGCGTTTGTGGGGACCCCGCAGGGAGCCGGGCAGCTCTCTCCCTGCAGGTCACCTGTATGCAGGCACCTTGACACAAGGGGAATTTGGTCCTGCTGCTCCACACACACACACACACACACACACACACACACACACACAGGCATACACACATGTAGATACATGCCGACACACACAAGCGTGCACACAGTCATAGATGCACACATACATGAACACACATATAGTCATAGATACACACATGCACACACACAATCATAGATGTACACACAAGACAGATAGACATGCACACACAAGCATGCACACAGACACACATAGATACACATGCATACACATATCGTCATAGATACACACAAAGATCCACACATGACATATGTGGTCACAGATACACATACATGCACACAGTTGCACAGTAAAGGTACAGTGTACACACAGACACAGAGATACATACATACACATATAATCATAGATACCCACATGCACACATATGCAGTCATAGATGCACATACAAGACATAGTCACAGATATACACGCACACACAAGTGTGCACATAGACAGTCATAGATGCACACACATACATGTGTACACACATAGTCATAAATACACACATGCACACACCTGCATACACACTGACACACATACATGTACACGGTCATAGATGCACACACAAGATATAGTCACAGATACACATGCACACACAGGCGTGCACACACACAGTCATAGATGCACACACACAGACACACACAGACACACACACATGCACACACACCCTGAGCATCAAATGTCTCCAGTGATTTGGTTCTCCTGGACACTCCTCGTCCTCCATGCCTCTTCCTCTGCCCATCCTGTTCCCGCCACACCCCAGATGCCCTTCTCTCTCATTTCCCTCACGAGCACCAGCTCCTCCTCAAGCACAACAATATTTATATTTTGGGGACATACTTAGCCTGAAAAACTATTTCTTGTCTGAAACTCAAATTTAACTCGGCCTCCTGTGTTTTCTCTGGCAAGTCTACCCACTTACTCAAGAAGAAGCATGGCTCACACGAGCCAGGGCGCCGGGCACCGACGAGCCGAGGCAGATCTCACCTGTGTCCGCCAGGCTCCCGGCCGTGGGCAGGACTCGGGGCCCACGCGCTGACTCTCTGAGCCCTGGGACCCTGGTCGGCAGCTTCCTGGGGTTTCAGACTTAGAACCTACATGTGTCTGGACTGAGATGGGCCTGCAAGTTCATCTCGTCCCAGTGAATGTGGGGGAAACTGAGTCACCATGTGGGCCTGCCTTGCCCCAGTTCACAAAGTGCAAAGCCTCTGTCTTCCCATGACGCAGCTGGAGACTTTTCCTAGATGTTCTGAAAACCTTCAAGTTCTCCAGGCCCGTATCTCCTGACGAGGAAGGATGGCTAACCCGCTGGGCACCGGCAGGCCCGGGACCAGTGCTGGGGAGTGGGGGGGTGGGCGGTGGGTGCAGGGCTCTGGTGGGACACCCCCCCCCACCCCTTCCTGGAGCAGGTTTCCTGCTGCTCTAAATCATCCCGCGTTCCGGCTCTGCTGGCCAGGACTTCAAGTATTTCTAAATCAACTGTGAAACAAAAAATAAATATTTTTTCAAATAACTAAGCCCTACCGCTAGCAGCAGTTTTGCTCATGACGCTTTCCAGCCTCAAATCCTCTATAAACAGAGCGCACCAGACGGCTAAGGAAGTCAGCCGGGCCCCCAGGCTCTCGTGGGCTCCGGGCCTCTCGGCCAGGCCGCAGCGCCCTCCTGAAGCACTGTCCTCACGGCATCTCGAGACAGTTGCATGCTGCTCTTTCACTTAAATTATTTCACCCTGGGACGCCTGGGAGGCTCAGCGGTTGAGGGTCTGCCTTCGGCTCACTGTGTGATCCTGGGGACCCGGGATGGAGTCCCGCATCGGGCTCCCTGCAGGGAGCCTGCCTCTCCCTCTGCCCGTGTCTCTGCCTCTCTCTCTGTCTCTCATGAATAAATAAGTAGAATCTTTAAAAAAAAAATTTCGCCCTTTCCATCATCATACTTATGTTTTAGAGGAGACATAAATGCTACTGAGGGGTGGGGGGGACCCGGGAGTCACTTCCTATCTTGCTTCTTTTCTGTAAAAGGACAATGCCAGCTTGGGGCAGCTGAGCTGTCCTCTCTGACCATCTCCGGGGAGGGAGCTTTCAGGGGCAGCAGCTACGAGCTCCCCAAGCTGGGAAAACAGACCTGCTGAACCACCCCATCCTACACCCACTCCCTTCCACGTGTGTGAAGGAAGCAGATCAATAATCCCCACCCCCATCCCCGCGAGGTGTCAGATCTCTGGGGACAGCTGCCAGCACCGCGTGGTGGGCATGGATCCTGAAAGCTGGAGCTGCCCTCCTTGGGTTCAGCATCCCAGCTCCACCACGGTAACCGAGTCACCTGCTACTCTGGTATGTCCCTCTCTGGGCCTCAGTTTCCTTGTGAGTGCAAAGGAGGCGAACGGTCTACACTCAGGGCAATAAATGAGCTGCTGCCTGTAAGACGTGCATAGCACAGAATAGCAGCTAGGCTCGCCTCAATGTCACCATTAACCTCGAGACGTGCGGGCAGGAGGGGATACCTGCGGAAGTTTCTGAAATCAGGGGCAGGGGGCTGTCAGGGATGAAGCAGAGGGCATAGGCAGGGGCCGAATGGAACCAAATGGAACGTGTTCAGAGGACGACTTGGTAAAGCAGGGCCGTGCCCAGACCTGCCTGTCGGGTTCCTGCTGTGCAGACCCTCACCAGCACCCCCCCCCCGCTGCCCTGCCCGCCCTCCAGCCCCCCCAGGACACGGCACCTTGTGGGAGTTCCTCCTCCGCCGGCGGCCCCACCACCTTAGGACGCTGCAGCAGGTTGTAGAAGGACTCGGGCTCCATTTCTCCTGTGCCGGCCTGGGGTGAAGGGGACAGAAGGGATCACCATCCGAGGAGCCCCGCGCTCACCCTGTGAGTCATTTCTTCCAGACCGTGAGGCTCAGGGACAGTGGGAGGGGGGCTGCCTAGGCAAGGGGACGGTTACCCCGGATGAGAGGTAGGCATCAGGCCGATTCTTATAGGATGTAGGGCTGGAGAGAGGCATCGGCTGAGGGCACGGCCTGAGCAAAGGTGCCTCCTCGCTCGGGTGCAGAGGAGCCAGGCCGCAGCTCTTCTGCAGCACCCAGGAAGCCCGGGCCCCACTCCCTGCAGTCAGGACAAAGGAGGGGTGGCCCACTCCCCAGAGCTTGTCAAGGTCCAGGAAACCCTAGAACAGGGCTCTGGGAGTACCCAGGGGGGCCCACGTGGGGGTTGGTGGAGGCAAACACACTGATGAGTGACATCTGTGGGGGTTGGACTGGGGGGGCCCTGGGGTCATCCTCTCCAGGTCCCCGAGCCCGAGACAGGTGGGCACAGAGTGGCACCCCCAGCCTTTGAGTAAGCGGACAGAGCTGGCGTGCCAACATCACCCAGGCTCATCTCCTTGTGGGCCTGGCCTCAGAGGGTGGCGGGGCCCTGCCCGTCCTGGTTCTAAACGAGGCTCTCTATGATGCACCTCATCATCCTCGGCCTCTCTGCGGTTTGGGGGGGTCTCAGTGCTCATGCTGGCATGGGCGGGGCCGGCATCTGCAGAGTGTGCACAGCCCCCTTCAAGTGTTCATTATGGACAGGGAGCCGGGCTCACCCCCAGCGGTACGGGGCAGCCCTGGCCTCCTTCCTGTTCCCCTAGGTTCACTTCCTCTCCTGCTCAGCCAGCAGCTCTGCTCCCCTCTTCAGCCCCGGCACCTCCACTGGCGTTTCTGGTCCCAAACCGACATTGGGGCTGGGGTGTCACACATCAGACTGGTGCTGGGCTCCAGTCCCCGGGGAGGCCTGACTACAGCAGCAGGGTCCAAAGCTGGGGCTAGCTGGTGGCGTTCCCTGGGGCTGCAGGCACCCCATCACCCCAGCAGCCAGCCCAGGGACACCAGGGCACTGCTGTAGGCGCCATCCTACCCCCTGAACTCCCAAACCTCCTCCTGGACAGGATTCGGTTCAAAGGATGTGGCCGGAGAAAAGAGTGTGGCCTGGGGGTCAGGTGGCCCAGAGTCCAGCCTGGCTCCTCCTCATTCTAGTTGTGTGACTTGGGATAAATCCCCTCCATTTCTGGTCCTAAAGATCTTTATACAAGGCAGGGCCCGACTCAGAGTCACCAAAGGCAGTGGAGTGGACACAGAGCTGGAAGAGCCGCAGGCCATCGGCCACTCCGGGCTGTCCCTGCCCTGCCCTGGGCCTTGGTTCCTCCCATCTGAAGCCGGGTGGCCTCTCTTCCCCACACGCTGGGGGAAGCTCAGGGGTGATGGCGTGTGGAAAGGGAGGCTGCCCACCTGGCCACACTGGAAAGAGAATGGCGCCTGTCTGCCTGGCCCCAGGAGGGGAGGGGACAGAGGGGCTGCTTCTGAGCATGGGTGGCTGGAGGGGCACAGAGGCTCAGGGTGTCACCTGCTGGACTCTCTCCCCTGTGGCCCCAGCTAAGGCTGTGTTCTCTGGGGTCGGTCCCACCAGGGCCCCCGGAGCCCTCCCTCCATGAGCTCTGGCTCCCCAGCATTACAGAGGCTTGCACGAGCGGAGACGCCAGGAGGACTCACCTAGCTGCCTCCTCCACACCAGGAAATGAAGGCTGCGTAGATCCTGATCACCGGCCTCCAAGTACGAGTTCCCGGCGGTGGGGGGCTGGAGGCTGGGGTGGGGGGGAAGGCAGGGGCCACGCACCCCACTCACTTCCTCCCAGCCTGTGGCTTCCGCAGGGCCTGCTCGGCTGCGTCTGCAGGGAGCTTCCTCCTCGCTGGGCCTTGGGGCCCGGTGCCTCCACAGCCCCACCGGAAAGCTCTGTCCCCAGAGCTCCAGCCACCCAGCCACACCTCCTGGCCCTCCGATGCCATGATGCCTCCCAGGCAACTGGAACCTGCTCTTTCTTCCCTCTCTCGCTCTCCCTCCCCACCTCGCAACCCCAGCCAGTCCCTCCTAGGCCTGCCATCTCCCAGGGGCAGCCCCAGAGGACCTCACATCCTGGCCACCAGCGAACCTCAAGCCCTGCCTCGGGCCATCCCTCCTCCCTCACGCCCCTGCCCAGCCAGCCCCTCTTCCCCTCTCCCCTGGCCTGGACCACAGAGGAGCCTCCTTACTCGACCCCATAGCTGCTGCCCTCTACACCCCAGCCCTGCCCAGGAGGCTCACGTCCCAACCATCAAAACTCACCACTGGCAACCCATTGCTCTTAAATAAAATCTACTCTGCCCATGGGACGCCTGGGTGGATCAGTGGTTGAGCATCTGCCTTCAGCTCAGGATGTGATCCCGGGGTCCTGGGATTGAGTCCCACACCGGGCTCCCTGCAGGGAGCCTGCTTCTCCCTCTGCCTGTGTCTCTGCCTCTCTCTCTGTATCTCTCGTGAATAAATAAATAAAATCTTCAAAAACAATTACAACAAAAACTCCAAAATCTTTTCTGCCCAGCACAGCACGTGTCCTGATGCACCTGCTGGCTAGATCTCCATTCCTGTCCCCAAGCCTCTCAGCCATGTGTTGACCGCCTCTGCTTCCTGAAAGCACCACGTCTTCTGTTTCAGGGTCTTCACACTTACGGTTTCCTCTGCCTAGAGGCTCCTGCCCCAGCTTTGAAAGTGGCTAAGTCCTCATCTGTATCATCAGCTTAAATGCCTCCTCCTTCAGGAAGCCTTCCCAAACAGCCTGATCTAAAAGAGGCCGTCGGTAGGGTTCCTCACCACAGGACTGAAGGTCTCGTGTCCCCTAGAATGCTGCCCGACACCAAGCAGACTCCATGAATAAGCGCTGCTGGCTGCTGTTGCCTAGGGGATAAAGTTCTTCCAGAGGAGAAACGGGCCTTGACGGATGAGTAGGAGTTCGCCACGTAAAGATGCATGAGAATGTTCCAGGTGGAGGGACTAGTGCATGCACAGGTGTTAAGGAGGTTAAGAAGGTGAGGCCTCAGGATGGCAGGAGAGGCAGAGATCAGCTCAGACTGGAGCTTTGTCCTGAACTTGAATCCTCAGGAGCCAGGATGACATTGTGAGTGTTCACGGCAGCAGTGACGGGGCCGAGGGGCCAGCAAGCCGAGCACCCTTTCTCTGCTGACAGAACAGGCAGGAACGGGGCAGAGGGGTAGGAAGCAGGACGGAGGGTGCCTGGGAGCATGGAACGCGTTCCCAGGAAGTTACAAAAATGACAAAAAATGTGAGTGATGTTACCACTGCCGAGAGTTACTGAGTAACCGATGATGAAGCAGAGTTTTAAGGGCTTTGATTTTACGGGAGCCGGCCTCTGGGGCAAAGGAAGACACAGAGGGGCAGGATTCAGTCTCCGCCCTCCCAACGCCCCCCTGCAAGCCCGGGGTCCATGGCACATGGGGGCGGGAAGCAGCGGGGCCCACACCCCAGTTGGCTTGGGCAAGCGTGGCAGACACGGCATGGCCCTGGGGGCAGGTGCACCTGCCAGGTCCCAGCAGAGACAGCATGTCCGAATGGGGAACCTGAGGAGTTTAATAAAGCACCTGTTGGGGCAGGGCTAAGGGGACCTGAGGAGACGGTGCTGCACCCCGAGCCTAGCAACACAAGGGAGCTGTCACCCTCTGCAGCCCAATGGGGCAGAGGCCAGAGCGGACACGAGCCCAGAAAGAGACCACTGAGGCCCTGAGCCGGCCACCAGCCAGGGGCTGCGCTAGAGGGGGGCATGCCAACCCACGAGCGACCCTCGCTCGCTCTCCCCCACACTCCTTCCTGCCAGGGCCAAACCCCAGGGGGAAACGAGTGGCAAAAAAGCTGGGTCAGGCAGCCGGCGAGGCCAGGGCAGCAGACATGGGAGGATGGACCAGGAGGCTGGTCGGAGACAACCTGACCCCAGCACTGAGTGCAGGCGGCCACTCAGCAGTCCCCCGTCACAGCAGAGGCAGCCGGCGCTGCAGTGTCACTAGAAGAGGCCTTGGGGCCGGAGGTCTGTCCCCGGCCTGCAGCTCCAGCCTTCCTGGGCTCTGGGGCCACCTCATTCCCAGTATTCGACTCCTTCCTGTGCAAGCAACTATGGAGACTCTGGTGATCTGCATCTGAACCTAGATTAATACAGGATTTGTTACCAGTCGAAGGAGGCAGATCTTAAGCGAGGAGGGATGATGGATTTGGTGGGGGAACGTTCCACCGTGGAGAGGGAGGGAGGACTCGCTGGCCAGCAGTCACACAGGGACGAAGCAGATTTGGACCCGGTGTCTCCCCAGAGCTGGGTCCTTGCCAGCAGCACTTTGGGATGCTCAGTACTTTCAAAGCACCGAGGCCTCTCTCTCCAGGTTAGCGATACTTTAAGTGACAATTTTAACATGTCCGAGGCACCTGAATCCCCCCACCCCACCATGACCTGTGCAGGGAAGGTTTGCAGCAGGGCCAGAGAGGACCGTGGAGCCTTGGCCGCCGCCGGGGTTCACCTGGGCCCCTTGCCCTGCAGCACCAGGAGCACGCCGCCTCCCCAGAGCAGCACCGTCCAGCCTGTGCCACCGGCCTGCTGGCACGTCACGTTCCGCGCTGGATCCAGGCAAGCAGGCGGACTGGCCCAGCGCTGCTCGGTGTTCCTGCTCACCCGCTGCGGTGACTCTGCCCCCGCCTCTCCCTGTGGCTCCCACCCAGGAAGGCCTCGGCCTCAACCCACGCGGGGCCTGTCTGCCCACACCGGGCTGCGAGCCAGCTCCTCTGCCCACTTCCCGGTGTCACTGGAAGCTCCTGGAGCTCGCACGTCCCGGGCCCAAGCCCAGGGCTGGCACGATCACTGACCACTAAGTGCATGAAAGCAAAACCAGACACAAGCAGCGCACAGCCTCGTGCTTTCAGGTTCTTTATTAGAATCATTAACAGAAAAAAAAAAAAAGGAATAAATAACAGCTCACTGTCCGCACCACCCTGCACTTTCCTAACCGAGTCTTCGGCGTCGGGGCAGTGAGGCTCATGGGCAGAGCCTTGGCTTCCCGCTGCCAGCCAGGGGGGTGGCATTGGCAACACTGCCAGGGGTTTAGTGGCTTTCATTCAATATCCAGAAATCCAATGGCAACACTGCTTAAAACAGTTAAAAAGACAATGAAACAGGGGCACACAAAAGGGTGGGAAAACTGTTCCATTCCTTTAAAAAACAGCTCTTCGTGGGGCACCAGGGTGGCTCAGGGCATGCTCCCCGCGATCCTGGGATCCCTGCATCAAGCTCCCCACAGGGAGCCTGCTTCTCCCTCTGCCTGTATCTTTGCCTCTCTGTGTCTCTCATGAATAAATAAATAAAATCTTAAAAAAAAAAACCAGCTCTTTATCACCTCCAAATAAGGACATGCGGGCCCATGGGTTCGGGGCTCCACGTGCATAAGATCCTATAGTTGTTGCAGGGGAAGCAAAGCTGCAAGCAGCCTCCCCGTGGCCAGGGGGGACTCAAACAGCCACTCGGAGGAGGATAAAAGGTGACCATCTCGCCACCCCCACCTGGGCCCACGCTCGGGGCCCCTAACCCTAAGCCGGCGCCACTTGGGCGCAAATTCTCTCACTGTCACTTAGTTCCTGTGGAGGGCCCCCTGCCCCTCCCCACCCCCTGCCGACAGAAAAACAATCCACTGAAAATGTGGGTCAATGGAGAAGGAAAGGTTCTAGAACTTTCCAGGGTCAAGGAAGAGACTTCTGCTGCAGAGGTTACCCCCAAGAAGATGCCCAGGCATGCCAGGGCATGAATGTCCAGGCCTCGTGTTGAGCTGATTGAAAGCGGACAGTGAAGGGAGGGGGGTGAGACGCACATGGCGCAGGGGCCTTGGCAGGTGTGCAGAAGGCAGACCTGCCACCTCCGAACCAACCTGAATAAAACCAGGTTGGAACACAGATCACACGCTTTGCTGGCGCCGTGGCCCTCAATAGTCCGCACTGAGGCAGCTGCGCCTGTTCACGTCGTCGGCCCGCATCTCGGGATCCCCTGTACCCTCCTCCCAGGAGCACAGAGGGCTTGCCGTGCGCTCCCTGCCCAGCGAGGAGGAGCTCCCCGCCGCCCAGCACCACTGCCTCCCCTCGCAGCCGCCAGAGCTGCCCACCTGGGCTGAACACCCCGAGACTGCATTCGTTCCAAACGCCGTCTCCCCCACCCCCTCCACCCCCCTGGGCCCCCAGGGGTGGGCACAGCCCCGCCAGGCCTGCCTGTGAACGCCGCACGGCTCTGGGGGCCGGCTGGGATTCTATGTGTGTGATGAAGTCAGCACAGAACGTTCCAGCCTTGGCTATTTTGTCAAAGTGGCCCTTTAATGTCACCGCATCCCACAAGAGACACCGTAATACTGTTTTAATTATTTCTTGCCCCTGCTGGGAAACCACTTCCATCAGAACAGTTATTTGGAAACTCCCGCCAGCCTGGCGGCTGTAGAGCTGAGACACAACAGCAAAGGGTTTCCTGAGTCGCGAGCGCCGGCGTTCGATTTAATACTAACAACCAGCTCAACAGCTCCGATCGATCGACAGCGGGAAGGTGAAAATCTGAGATGAGAAAGGCCCGTCCTGCTTGGCAGCAAATGCTGAGCCCAGGGAGGAGGCTGCTGGCGGGGGCGCTGCAGGTGCAGTGACACAGTGCAGGTGCCCCCCTCAGCAGAGGGGAGGCCCCCCCATCTCTCTTGAGCCAAGGTGAGTAGGGGAGGGGACCAAGAGCATCCCTTTCCGGAGTACCCAGTGGGAGATGCCAGCAGGGTTCCAGAAAGCCACGCAAGACTTCGTATCCCCCCAGTAAGGGCTGAACTGTGTCCCCCGGAATCCATATGTTGAAGCTCTAACCCTGAGCACCTCAGAATGTCACCATACTTGGAGATGGGGTCTTTGCAGAGGCCAGGACGTTACAAAGAGGTCACATGGGTGGCCCTCATCCTTATGGCTGGTGTCCTTATAAGAGGAGATTAGGACACAGCCAGGGACAGAGGGAGGACACGGGGGAGGGATGGCCACCTGCAAGCCAAGGAGAGGGGCTTCCAGCGGCGCCAGCCCTGCCTCAATGCTGGGCTTTGGGCCTCCGCTGCTGGGAGACAACACAGTCCTGTTTTCCTGTCGTCTAAGTCCCCACTTTGTTACAGCGGCCCCTGCAAATGGAGAGACTCCGTTTTTTAAAAGCTTAAAAATGCATCGATTCCCAAACAGGGCCTCTGAGATGTGTCAAGCAACATTTTAGATCTGGCTCCTGACGCAGCCCACTTACTTGGCTGTCATCAAAAAAACCAAAAACAAAACCCCAAAACAGCACCAAAAAATCCCCCTCCAACATCGCTTCAGCAAATCCTGCCTCCCACGCAGTGGCAGCTGAGGGTCACCCGGGTCTTAGACGTTTGTGCAAAAGGTAGATGAAAAGAATACTGGCTGATCAAGAGGCAGAATGTGGGGCAGGGGCGGGGGCGGGGCGGGGGCGGGCCCTCCCATCCCATCAGAAGCTTCTGGGATTTTAGAGGGGAGTTTTTAAAACTACAAAACGCTTTTTACTAAAAAGGCCTTGCTTCCAAGGAGAGTCGCCCGCACCGGTCAAGCTGACCCATGGCTCCTGCAGAGCGGTCGGGGCTGCTGTGATCACCCGCGGTCGTTAACTCCTCCGTGGAAAGGCTTGCGGGGCGCCCCTCCCACAGGCTGGGGGATTTGGGTGGGATCAGGGCCAACTAGTGTCCCGTGAGCACCCATGGGGCCCACGCAAGCACAGGGGAGTGCCGAGCCCTGCATTTTAAAGGATGCTGCCCACTGTGTGTTACACTACGGAGCTTATGAGCAATGACACAAACAGGCCAGTGGAGCAGGGGTAGGGTGGGATGGGGTGGGGTGGGGTGGGGTGGGGTGGGGTGGGGGAAGCCAGGCCCGCACGCCCGGCACAGGCTCTGCGGCTCACTGCTGTCACTCCAGGTTCTTGTATTTGGTGAACAGGTTGTAAAGAACTCTCAGGGTGGATTTGAGATCCAGGTTCACCACATCTGCGGAAGAAAAGAGAGGCACCGTTGGAGAGGTGAGAGGACCTGAGCCCTAGCGTTGGTGCGCAGGGGGCATGGGGTTAAAGCTCTTCGGGTTAGAGACTGACCCCCTGGGTGGTGCCATCCCAAGTGGCCCTGAGAGGCCCCAAGCCGCCAGCCCCGAGTGAGCCCCTGGGATGGCCAGGACAGGGCTGCTCCTCTTGCATCCCTTCTAGGACGTGGGTCCAGCAAGTCTGGGGACCCATGGTGTCTATGTGCTGTGGGATCTCCAACAGCCAAGCACCAACCTGTGCCAGGACGGAGCGCAGGCCTTCTGGGGCAGGGTGGGGCCAGGGTTGCTGCCCTCTCCTGCGCCCTCAAGGCCAAGCGATGGGCTACATGGTGCAGCCCACGGCAGGACCCTCGGCCCGTCAAGTCCAGGCTGCCTTCTTTGGTGGGAAGGGCACCCGGGTCTCCTCCTCACTTGCCCTATGACTTAGCCAACAAGTGCCCTCCCTGCTCTGGGCCTCCGCCTGTTTGCCGGTGAAACTGGCCCATCGGACCAGATGAGGCCAAAGGCCCTTCTGTGGCCACAGAATGATCACCATGCTCTCCCCCTGCAGGCACTCACCCTCAGAGCAAGACATAGCACCCCGTACAGAGGAAGGCTGCCGAGCAGCTGCCGTGAACCGACAGGCGTCCTTGTACCTGGTCCCAGAGTGCATTTCCAGCCTCCGCCCAGAGCCGGAGGGAAGCACAGGGAGCTGGCACAGGGAGCTGGTTCCTTCCTGCCTCTCCATTTTGTAAAAGAGACCAAGACTCACCCAGGAGAGACGGCCTGCCGACCAGCTTACCGACTCAGGGGGAACACAAGGGCTCACACGTGCACCCGGGGCTCCCCGGGGCTCTCCGCTGCTGCTCAGCCCCACATGCAGCATGACCGTGCCTCGTCCCTGCTCACAAGCACTGCCCTTTGTTGGCCATCAGGGACATAGCCTGACACTCGTCCAACTGCGGCAAGCCTTTCATACCCTCTCAAGGCATCTCTAGCCTGAGCGCTGGCACCTGCAGGGTGTGCAGATCCCAAGGCTCGTGGGCAGAGGTCACGTCCTCCGAGTCAAGCAGTTACTAGCGACCAGCGACAGTGGTTCTGCCAGCACAGTCCTCCTGGGTCCCTGAAGCTAAGAGCACAGGGGGCGCGGGGGCCAGGGTTGGCAGGGCGGGCGCCAGACGTTACCTTCAGGCCGAGCCTTGGGTGTCTTGAGCCCTCCGTCCAGCATCAGCTCAAAGGCAAACGCCACGTTGTGGACCTGCCAGGGCAGCGAGAGCAGAATCGGTACATCCACAGGCCGCAACAGGCCCAGTGCAGGGCGCTGGCTGGGTAGGGGTGTAGGGCGAAGATGTTTACTAGACGGTCCTTACTCCGCTCAACCAGTGACCGGGGGCAGCTCAGAGAGATGCAGGGGTGAAGGCACAAAGCCTGCCCTCGAGGGCCCTGGGGTCCCCGAGCGTCTGCTCTGCCACAGGCCACACAATGAGAAGTGACAGTGACTCTGGCACTTTCATAGACAAGGAAGCCAAGGCTCGGAGAGGATGTCACTTCCCAGAAGCACCCAGAGCTCCGCACTGTCCCCAGCACAGAGCGGCCTGCCCACCGTGCGCTGGGAGGGCCTCACAGAGCCGCGTGTGCACAGCTGCGGGCAGGACATCCCGCTCAAGGGCAGTGGTGGCCCAGGTACCAGGGACCCTGCTGGAACGGAAGTCAGCCCGGTGGTGGCTGCAGGTGGCAGGACCCTGGTTCTGACCTCGACTTACCAGATGTCACAGGAAGATGGATGCTCGCACCCCCCCCCCCCGCCGACTTCTCCCAGAAATGAAAGGTACCACTCAGCCCACGAGGATGCTGGAAGCTTATATTCTGCTAACAGCTTCTAAAGAGGTTTAAAATAACACCTTCTCTGCTGCATTTATCCACCTGAATCACAGGGACGCCGGGAGACCAACCACATCACAGCCAGCCATCTGCTGGGAGCAAAGGCTGTCAGGGGGTGGGGTTGGGGGGGCACCAGAAAATGAAATAAATCATAGAGTCAGAGCTAGAGAGGACCCTGGGGCCCTTAGTAATCAACTATCCTCTCAACAGTAATATCTTTATGATTTCCGTGTAAATGAACCAGAAATACGGGCATTTTACTTGTAGTTTAATAATTAACCAGGAAAATGATGTTTGACAAAATAACCTGCAGTTGATCAACCCCTCCCACCCACTCCCCCCACCCCCCACCCCACCCCCGCACAGGAGCTCAGGGATGGCATAGTGGCCTCCAGGACCCTTGACGGCACCAGCACTGGGCAGGTGGCGCTCAGAGGGGCCCTGTGTGGGGACAGGCCCCTCGCACCCAGCCCTGGACGGGGCTGCACGTGACCAGACACAGGGGGCAGGGGGATCCCGGGCCATTCCCGAGGGCCAAGCGGGAATGCCACGCAGGGTGTCAGACGCCTGGGTGCAGGGAGCCGGCCTGGCCCGGAGGAGGGGCGGTGGGGATGAGCCAAGGCTGCTTTTCGGAGGCCGTCCCGGGGCCGAGGTGGGTGAGGACAGGAGAGCTGGCTCCTGGTAAAGTGCTCGGCGCTGAGCAGGTCAGGCTCCTGAAACCCCACACCTGCCCTGTCCAGGATTCCCTTCTGCTTTCTTCTCACTCTGAGCAAACCGCCAGGCAGGAAGTCCTGGCCGCCCTGCTCTCATCCCAGAGGCACCCTCACCTCCGCCGACCCCTGGCCCCAGGCACCCGGAACAGTGCAGCCAGAACAGCAAAGAGCTCCCCAGACCCGAGGGGACCAGGCCCCAAGCCGCCCCTGGGAACCAGCCACCCGGCCAGGACACCCTGAAATCCTTGCCCTCTGCAATTCATGGGATTTTTGAAAACCTGGCCAGGCGATGGAAGGATAGAAGTTTCCAGAACAGGGGCGGATCCCATTTCCTTGACCCCAGGGAGGGAATATGATGAGGGGACGGAATGCAAAGCCTTTCCTTGTACGAACCAGCAGAGTCTCTGCTCCCCAGAGAGAGGGACACTGTGGAGTCTTCCAGAAAGATGATCAATGGGCACAAGGTATTCAGCAAAGTGGCTCCCACTGAGTAAGACGATAAAACACAAAGCCACGGCTCGTGCCCATGTCCCAGAAAGCTCAAAGAGCGCCGTTTGTCCGTGTGCAGCAACCTAGGACGTCCGAGCTGTCTGGTCTCATTGTTTTTTAAATCCAGGGCAATTGTTTAAAAACACAGGTCATCACTCCGTGTGGGGAGAGCAGCCCCGGGCCCGTCTCCTGTTGCGCTCAGAGGACGTTCAGTGCCCTCCCTTCTGGAAATGCAGAGCTCCCAGCATCAGAGCAGATGCGCCCCCACGGAGCCTGCGCCCCCAGGAGACAGCTAGTGGGTGGACCCCAGCAGCCCCCACCGCCCTGCCACAGCTGCAGGCAGCGCCCAAGAGCTCGGGTGCAGGGACCGGCCTGGAGCGATTTCAGGTCTACGCAGCGGGGAGACACCACTGCCCGTGAGCTCGTGATGTCAGGAGGCTAATAAAGAGGACGAGCTTGCAAAGAACCTGCCAGTGACTCTCATGATGAGCATCGCTCCCCCAAGAGGGACCAGGAAGCTGGTTAAGAATCCACGGGAATTCTAGCATCTTCCCCAAGGAGAGCTCCGGCTGCCCGCAGAGCCACCCCCACCCCCAGGGCGTCCCCTTCGTGAGGGTGAATGGGCCACTGGATGCACGCTGGACGCTGTCCCCTAAAGCAGCCTTCCCTCCATGGCTCTGGAGATGGTCATTAGGCCTCCCGCACCTCCCAGGCCAGGGCAGCAACCAACAAAAACTCTCAGCCCTGTTGCAAAGGGAATAAGGCCGGAGGTGGAGGGAGGGCACCCCTGCCCCCGCCAGGTGCACAGTCTCATCCTGGGAAGAAACCCAGATCCAGCTACTTGGCTCAATTCACCGCTGCTGCCAGCATTGTTATTAATTTGAACAAAGGAAGAAATCTCTCTCCCACACGATGCTTCTGCCACCAGCCAGGTCGGGCCTGGAAACGCACAAGCCTCCTTGCCACATCAGCCGTGTGCTCGTTTCCAGAACGACAGCAAAGGCGCCCTTGTCTCCTAATGGGAGTTCTGCTCATTCCCCTGGCTCGAGCTCTCTGCATTCACCACGGCTCAAACGTGCCAGGACCTCTCTACTCTGTTCTGATTCCATCTCAGCAGGTGAGGCAAGAACAATTTGGCCATGAGCAAGCTGCCTGCAAGGTGCCAGAAGTATGCAGATTGATAAACACTGGCCCCACTGTCGGATGTTTCTCTGGCGGCCGCCACCCGCTTGCATCGTCGGCCTCTCTGACTCACAGGTCTAGCACTTTGGGAAAAATCAAGTGACAGATGCCCGTGAGTCCAAAGCAATATGGATCGTGCATATGCCAAGCTTCTAAAGGCAACGCACTAACTACTTCTGCACAGGCTGAACTCTGGGGAGGCCCCGAGCAGCGGGCAAAACACCCGGTCACACGCAGTGAACACGAGACGCGGCAACCCGAATTCAGAGGTTGCGCCCTTTGACCCAAACGATCCCATTGGGGGGGATGTTCCTAGAAAATTCACAGGAATGGATATATATATCTATATTTGAGGAGATGCCCTATTATTTCAAGGGGGGAAAACCCCAGAAATGAGTTAATTGTCCAAGAGTAGGGGAGACAGGAAGACAGTGGCCTCAGAGCTGTGGGGCTTTGTGCTACCGCTGAGAAGAGCACTTGGGGAGGTGGACCTAGCCGGGAGAACCAGAGGTGACACATGCACATCAACAAACAGGAGAAGGATTTGCAACTCTACAGACGTCCGACCACAGTGATTAAAAATGGTACCGTCTCATGGTGAAAGACCCCAAGAGAATGTGGCACAGGACACTTGGGTTTATGTCTACTGCTGAGGGTTGGGTTGTGTCTAATTGCAGGACCATTTGTGGGGCAGTCTTTTGTTTTTGTTTCTTGTTTTTTTTTGGAGGACTCCAGCCAAAACCCCAAGAAGAGCCACTGGGGGATAATCTAGGGTGCGCGCTTTAGTGAGGACGCCTGGGGCTGCTCTGAGGATGGAGACCACACACACGTACCTTCTGGTCGAAGCTGTCTGGGGTCAGATAGAAGTTGTGCAGGGGCACAAAGTAGTCTTCCAGAAGGCCCATGAGCAGAACCAGGTACACGCCATCTGCAAACTACAGAGAAACATGCGGTGATGTGTCTGGGCTGTACATGGAGGTGGTGAATGCTCTGCACCCATTCAAACGAAGGAGAATGTTTTCATGTCAGAAATCTGTGCCTCGTGCAGGCAGGAACCCGCAATTAGGTGAAGGAAGGACCCGGGTGTGAAGCATGTGGCTCGGGACTGGACGTGGCCACACATGTGGCTGGGGCTGGAGCGCATCCATGGGGATGGGGCCACGGCTCTGGATCCAGACAGCCCGGCCATGAGGTCCGTCTCCCCAGGACTGACTTCGGGGTAACACTCAGGGTCTCAGGGTTGGCATGAGGACCCGGCAAGAAGGGAACAGGGAGCACCCTGCATACGGCAAGCATGTCATGGGTGTTGGCAGCTGGCGGGATCCACTCATGACCTGCAGGGCGCCCTAGGCTCTGGTTTGGGGTTTGCTGCCCTGTTTCCCCTGCTCACTTTGTCAGCTCCTGAGCACTTTCTTCAGTGCTGGATGAGGTGTTCCCATGCTTGAGCCTGGTGACAATGAGCCTTTGTGTGTCCATCTAGATGAGCATGTAGTGTCCATCCCAGCTAGACCCTGAACACTGGGCAGCACTGGGGCAGGGAAAGCCCTGCAGGCTGCAGCCCTCAATCAAGACCTCTCTCCTGGGGTACCTGGGTGGCCCTTCGGCTCAGGGCGTGATCCCGGAGTCCTGGGATCGAGTCCACAGCAGGCTTCAGTGGGGAGCCTGCTTCTCCCTCTGCCTGGGTCTCTGCCTCTCTCTGTGTGTCTCTCATGAATAATAATAATAATTAAAATCTTAAAAAAAAAAAAAGACCCCTCTCCCCGCCACCTGGCCCAGCAGCACCTCCCACCCACAGGAGAGGGACCAGGAATCTAAAACAAAAGATCCAGCTCTTTGGCAGACAGCCCTTCCCACCCCCAATAAACCAGGGAGCAGCTACTTCCTTTAAAGGTGAAGCAATGGAGACCAGTGAGGATACAGCAAATTGCCCGAGGGGACAAGAGAACCAAGGCACAGTCCACACCCGGAGGGCAGATGGCATCTCTGAGGGGCTGAGCCCTGCTGGGGTCCACTGCAGGCCCAGTAGTTGTGAGGACCCCAGCCTCCCGATGTCTGAAATGGTGTCATCCAATATGACCGTCCCTGGCCGCATGTGCCTATTAAACCTAGACTTTTTAAAAAAGATTTTATGTATTTATTCATGAGCAACACAGAGAAAGAGGCAGAGACACAGGCAGAGGGAGAAGCAGGCTCCATGCAAGGAGCCAGACGTGGGACTCGATCCCAGGACTCCAGGATCACGCCCTGAGCTGAAGGCAGACGCTGAACCGCTGAGCCACCCAGGCGTCCCTATTTTTTCGTTTGAATGTTGCAGACTTTTTTTTTTTTTACTATGGTAAAATATACATAATGTGAAATCTCCCATTTTATACATGTTTGAGTATTCAGGTGAGTGGCATTAAGTCCATTCATACTGTGTGCATCCATCCATCCATCCATCCGTCCATTCCAGAACTCTCATCATCTTGCAAAACTGAAACTCCGTGCCCGTTAAACACAAACTCCCCCAAACCTCTCACCCAACCCCTGGTGTCCACACCCTACTCTCTGTCTCTGAATTTGCCTCCTCTAGGGGACCTCACATAAGTGACACTGTACAATATTTATCCTTTCATATCTGGCTTATGCGGACTTTTTTTAGTTGAGATAAAGCATACATAAAATTTACCATGTTAAGAACTTTCATACTATTATGTAACCAAGTGCCAAAACTCTTATGTCTACAAAATGCTTAAATTAATTAAAATAGGGGCAGCCCAGGTGGCTCAGCGGTTGAGCACCGCCTTCAGCCCAGGGTGTGATCTGGAGACTCAGGATCGAGTCCAGCATCGGGCTCCCTGCAGGGAGCCTGCTTCTCCCTCTGCCTGTGTGTGTGTCTCTCTCTGTGTGTGTCTCTCATGAATAAATAAATAGAAAATCTTTAAAAAAGAAGAAAAAAACAAGAGCTCCTTCCCCCATCCTAGGCAGGCCACCAAGGCCTCCAATTTAAAGATGTAAAGTCAAAATCAGAAACATCCAGTATCACCAAGTTGAAAGGGGAAGGGCAGCTAAGAAACAAAGCCCAAGGCAGAGGGACACCATCCTTCCGAGGAGAGCGTTCCAGGCCCTGGTCCGACGTGATCTGACTGGTGAATGCCCCACGTCTGCGTGGCAAGGGTGTCATGCATCCACACCATGAGGAAGCCACATTACTCATCTCCTTAGGGAGATCAGAGGGCTTTTTAAAACCATGTCCCCTCCACGCAGCAGCTCCCCCCCGACCGTGCTCCAGGAAGAGTGTGCTGGCCAGACTCCCCCGGTGACACGGCCCCTGCAGGCCCAACGAAACCAGCTCAATCGTCAGCGCTGACCCATTTCCAGGACATCCGTGAATGAATATCCTGCCCCTACCAAACTGCCCAGGAGGTGGGCAGGTGAGTGGGACAGAGAGCCTCTGCTCCCTCCCACGGCCTCGCCGTGCCCGGGTGGTGGGAGAGATGGGGGCTACAGAGGAAGGCGTGGCAGGGAGAGGGGTCCCGGGGAGGTTGGGAGCCAGGCCCAGCTGGCGGCTTATCAGCCCATGGGCTGGACGCTTCTAGTTCACACTTAGGAGAGCACACATTTGTCATGAGGCAGGGGCGTGCCCTTGCTCAGACCCCACGGACGCCCCACGGACACCCCACAGCTCCCACGGCTCCCAGGGCAATGCCCAGCTTGCAAGGGTATGACCTCCATCAAGCCCCACCCCCATATCTGCTGCCCTGCCCCCTCAACATGAGGAGAGAAGCGCAGAGACACGGAGTAACTGGCCCAAGTGCCGCAGAGCTAGAAAGCTGCCCAGAATATAGGAGTGGTTTTGTTTTATCTTATTTTTAAAGATTTTATTTATTTATTCATGAGAAACACACAGAGAGAGGCAGAGACACAGGCAGAGGGAGAAGCAGGCTCCTTGTGGGGAGCCCGATGCAGGACTCGACCCCAGGACCCCAGGGTCACACCCTGAGCCGAAGGCAGACCCTCAACTGCTGAGCCACTCGGGTGTCCCTACAGGAGTGGCTTTAAAAAGGAGGGAAAAACACATGCATGTCACACACGCGCACACACATGCACACACCCTGAGCCGGACTTTGAGCCCAGGTCCCCCTGAGGATGCACGTTATTTATAAAAATCCCTCTTCTGGTGGACCAGTGGTTAGGAATACTTTTAAGATACTCCTTGAAGCGCGGTGGAGGAGAAAAAAAGGGAGACGCTGAGCACATAACGATCAATGCAAACCGAGGTGTAGGGTCACAGTTGGGATGTCCGGTGACCACTGCTGCTGTGTGCATCACCCCGGGTAGGGGGGGGAAGTGACAGCTGGGAACAGCTGGCGGGGCCCAGGATGCCCAAGAGGGCAAACCTCCCCGGGCCCTGGAAGCATCACTGCCTTTGCACTGACGATCCCACTGCCGGGGGCGCGTCCTGACGAAGAGAGTCCCCTCAGTCCCCATCACGACAGTGGGATGCGCCCTGTCCCGAGGAGCCGGCTTAGTGACGTGCAGCCCAGCCTCAGGACGGAATAGAAGGCAGTCCTCAGAGGTGACTGGTACGGACGGACAGACTGGGCAAGGGAAGAGGGTTAGATGCCATCATGCGCACAGACTCAAATAAACAAAATACGCGTTACACAAGAGCTGTACAGTGAGAGCCACAGTCACCTGCAAAACGCACCTATGCGCACGCACGACGTCTAGAACACACATCCGACCATGAGGTGCAGTCAGTTAGGTCTGGGGAGGAGGAAGCGGGGATGCGGCGAGGAAGGAGGAAGGGGAACTGTTATTTTTAGGCTGGGACGCTCCTGGACTGAGGAAATAGCCAACAGCAGGTCATGAGGCTGGGTGCGCAGTGCCCGCAAACTACGACAAACGACGCACCGATGAATATACTAATTAAAAACGGTCCATTGGGCTTTCCAGTACAGACCCGTGCCGTCCAGGATCAGCCAGCCAGGTGGAGGAAAGGTCCAGAACAAAACCCCCCGGCACCGTTATCTCCGGGTGTTGGGATTAGGGATGATTTTTATTTGTTTTGCTTATCTGCATTTTCAGACATTCTACAATGAACCTGAATTACTTTTTTAATTAGAAAAGCAAATGGGAAAAGGCAAAGCAAGACACAGAACGGAAGCAATCGCCCAGGGGTTTAAGAAGGATCGGCTGGGGGTTAGAGGGAATCTGCACCGAGAGGTCTAAAGACTCTGAATTCAAGCATCCAGCTAATCCTGGGAAAATTATATTTTGTCTTCGATGCCTGGGGAGCGTTTGAAACAGATTTTCACTGTGTGACGTTAGCTCTGAGCGGAGTAGGGGAGTATATTTTATATACTAGCTGCAGGAGAAATATTTTGTGCACCCTCGTTGGACAGGTATTTAGCGAGCACTTGCTCAGTAAGCATGGCCGTGGAGAACAGAAGCTGGGGCACGGAACGTTCTAGACTGAAAGAATTGCACGTGCCACAGCCCTTCGGTGGGGGTGGCAGGACGTCTCAGAGGGTGTTACAGGTTCAGCTGGGTCCCCCTCAAAAACAGTGTTGGAGTCCTAACCCGCAGAACCTGTGACTGTGACCTTATTAGGAAGTATGCTCATGACGGAGGTCGATGAGGTCACCGGGATGGGCCCTAATCCAACACTACCAGTGTCCTAACTAAAAGGGGACATCTCGGGACTCCTGGGTGGCTCATCTGCCTTTGGCTCAGGGCATGATCCGGGGGTCCCAGGATCGAGTCCCACATCGGGCTCCCTGCAGGGAACCTGCCTCTCCCTCTGCCCGTGTCTCTGCCTCTCACTGTGTGTCTCATGAATGAATAAATAAAGTCTTTAAAAAAAATAAAATAAAAGCACGTTGAGATCCCAGCAACATGAATTGTTTCTTAAGAGGGGAATGGGTAGCTGATTTTAAAAAAAAGGGGGGGACATCTGGACACAACACACAGACATGGGGGGGGAGTGTCAGGTGACGATGAAGGCAGGGATGCGGGTGAGGCGTCTACAACCCAGCGGACGTCCCTGCAGCTGGGGGAGAGGCCTGGCACGGAGCCCCCACCTCCCCCGCCCCCCCAGAGCCCCAGGAGGAAGCAGCCCTGCCAACACCGGTCGGGGACTCCAGCCTCCAGGGCTGTGAGGACGCCCACGTCCGTGGCACCGTGTTCCAAGCAGCCCAAGACGTTACAACAGAGGGCCTGGGGGGAGGCCAAGGCGGCCCACCCGGGATCAGAGCACAGGCTGAAACCACAGGCAGGTGCCTCACCCCGGAACGCTGCTCACCTGGGTCTCCAGCTCTGTCACCTCCAAGTTCAGCTTATTCAGGTGCTTGTTCACAAACGTGATGAGAGACTGTCAAGGCAAAGACAGAGACGGGAGCCGTGAGTGAGGCGGTCTGCTCCCATCCACCCACCCGGACGGACCTGCCCTTGCCGTCACCGGCTTTGTGAGATGCTTCCAGGATCTCCTCCGTTTGCTAAAATAAAAGGCTCACGTGCATCCAGCAAGCCCTGGTCTTCATGCAGCCATGCCTGACTCGCCATCCCAGCTGCAGAGGAAAACGCACAACCCCGGCCAACCCGTGTGCGTGCGCACGTGCTCGGCCACACGTGCGTGTTTACCAATCCTGTAGTGGAACAATCAGCGCCCTTAGGAAGGATACAATCGTCAGGGGAATAGGATTCCATTGTTAGATGCGTCCTAGATGTACAGGAATGACAGGAGGCCGCCCCGGCACCCCCCCACCCCGAGGGACCACACACATCGGCCTCCGTAACCTGCAGCAAGCTGGATCTCAGCGAAACAGGGCCCCCAGCGTCTCGTTTCTAACCAAAGTTTAAAACTTGTCACCTGGAACGTCTCAGCCAGTAAACCCAGCTTCAATGGGACACCACGCCAGCTGCACCCCCACCCCTGGACATGACCACCCCGGCCCTGCCTTATTCATTCTTTTTAAATTTACTGAGCAGCTACTACGTGCCAGGCACTCTGCTTGATGCGGGGGCCATGAAGACAGCAAGACAGGGCCCCGCCTGGACAGCCTGCGGCACGGTTCTCCACCTTGGCCCCTGGTGGAAGCGGCGAGGAAATCGAGAGCTAGGACCCAGCGTGTGATATATGCGATGGCAGGGAGGTTTGCTGAGTGCAAGGAGAAACGTGTGGACCCCCGCAGGTGCCAAGGGAGGTGACACCATGGGAGACAGGAGTGCAGAGGTGGGCAGAGTGGGCACCTGGGCCCTGCACACATGTGCCAACACTTGGGATCTTCAGGTCACAGCTGGATGTAACAGGAGGTGACCCTGGAGAGGTGGACAGGGTGCTCCTGCTTTTATCCTGGGGAAATGGAGCCACTGACACGGCGACTGTCAACATGGGGGTGGGCAAGGGCCAGGCTGGAAGCAAGAACCAGTCAGGCAAATAAAAGGATTTTGTTTTGTCACTGGGGTCCCCACGGGCCCAAAATACGTCTTTTCAAAGAATTAACATCCTATCTATCAAAAGACAGGCCATGGGCCACACCACGGTCAACACCATGTAGTAGACTATGTGCAGGGTCTTTGCACAGAGTGGTAGGTCCTGCCTCTGGGTCCAGACAGATGGGGAAACTGAGGTAGGGGTTATCCTCTGCCTCAGGCCACCCAGTTGATAGGTGGGAGAGCCAGATGTGCATCCTCTTGTGCATCCACTCAATGGGAGCCAGCTGTGGCAGGGGTAGGGGCTGGGGGCGGGAGGCACTGCTTGGAGGCCCCAAGGTGTGTCCCTCACGACCCAAGGATGCTAAGGCGGCTCCACCCCAGAAGGACCACTGGGGTGGTGCTGTCAGCCTTTTGCCAACGTGCTTCCCAGAACCAATCATCTCACAGTCCCAGGCTGGACCAGCATTTTCCAAAAGTGGGTTCCATGGTCACGGTCAAGCATGAGATAAACAGATCTCACCATTGACAAGCAAGTTTGGAAAATGCTTCCTGCCAAGTCCTCCCTTGGGAGAACTCCAACACACGCCACCATAGTAAAGGTCCTGAGACGTCCTGCATCAGGAAACCTGTTCTGGGAAATTGTGCCAGACAAAGAGGGCACTCCCCTAGGTCACAGGCAGAAATGACCAACTGCTCCTTGGATTTCACAGGGAGGTGGGAAGTGCCTCCCCGCACTGAGACGTCTGCAGGCGCAGTGGGCTGGGTGAGGACGAGCCCTCCTGGCAGCTCCTCCCCCTGGAAGCTCATCATTCCCCAGTCCCTGACTCCACAGCCTCAGTTCACATGGGGTTTTTTGTTGTTGTTGTTGTTTTGTGAGTTTTTTTGTTTTTTTTTTTCCCCACCCGTAGCCCACAAGCAGGCTGCCTGGGCTGATGAAGGTCTCGTCCTCTGCGCTCCTGGGCAGTGGGGAAATGGACCAAACAGGCGCCCCAAGCAGCTGGGCCAGCAGAGGCCTGCCCATGTCCAGGCAGGTCGTGAGTACAGCCCCACGGCAACGGGGCCTGCAAGAGCCAGCGGCTGACACACTCAAAAACACTGTCGCATTGAGAAAAAGCCTGGAGTCGAACGAAACGCCGCGCTGGCGCCGGCTGGCTAATTCACTCAGCAGAAGCGGGCGGGTGGGCAGGAAGATACCCCGGGAGCAGAGATGTTGAGTTAAAAGGTGCTAATTTTATGCGCTGCAGTTACGTTTTTGACTATAATTACACTTCCATCCATGTGGCAAACATTTCAGAGATCTCAAACACGTTCCCACCTTCTTCCCGGCATGGGGTGCATGCTGCAAAAAGAAAAAGCGGGGGGCGGGGGGAGGCCTGGAGACAGGGGTTAGCAGCCCGACCCGGGGCTTACCTTCTTCACCACGCTGAGCTTGTCCGGGGCGTGGTCAAAGAGCGTGTCGAAGGCGTCGCGCTCTGCGTGGACAGGTGAAGGGACAGGCGGGTTAATGGAAACGCGCGGCGCTGCTCCGGTCCGGGCCCAACCCGGGAATCTGGCAGCTTCCGACCCCCTCCCTGGGGATGTCCCGCCCCTACTCTCCCCACCCGCCTAGAATCCTACTCTTTTCCGCCAGAACCCAAGGGCAGGTGCGGTCGAGGAGCAGAATCAAGGAAAAGATGCTTCTCACTCTCTGTCTCGGTCTCTCTCAGTTTCTATCTTGTAACGTGAAAGTCACGGGTGGTGCTCGAACATCCGCCCCCGTGACATCCTCGGCTTCAGGCATCCCCCCGTCCGCCTCTCTCCGTCCCCACGCTCCGTGCGCACCAGCGGATCTGCCGGCGCAGCGCCTCTGAGCCCGCCTCCCGATGGCACGGCTGCCAGCCCCGCACGGGCCCTCACCGGGCACAGGCGGCCGCCTCCCGCCTCGGCTGGCCCACGCCTCCGCTCCTGGCCCTTCTCCCAGCTGGGACACTGGAGACCTGGATCGATCTTGCCCCTCCCCGTCCCCGCCCCCTAACCAAAGCTCTCCAACAGCTTCTCATCACTCCTACAATAAAATTCATTCCCTCTCCTGTGGCTGATGGGACCCAGTGGGGGCAGTCACCAACCCCTCCCCCGGCTCCCAACACACACGCACCCTCCCTGACTTCACTCCACTAACTGGTTTCTCGGCTTCTCCTCCATCACACGCCCACCACAGGGCCTTTGCACCTGCTGTTCACCTGCCACGCTTCCTTCAGGTTGTTCTCGGATGTCAACTTCTCTGAAGGGCCTTCCATGACCATCCACGTCTAGAAAAGTGCCCCACACCTGCTGACCCTGGGACACTTCTCATAGCACTTAATCACTACTTGAGAGTACATCCTACGTTTGTCCATCTGTTGGCTATTAACTCCTTGCTGGCTGAAAACACCGTCTCGCTTGTTCCCTCCACTGCCTCAGAACCAATCAACAAACCAGGAGACTCTGCTCTAGAATCTCTCTCCAGAACCCTCCTTGGGGGACACCTGTCATGTCCCACCCATTCTCCTTCTTCCTGGGGAGCCCTGCCCCATTCTGCTATCCAAGGACCCAGCTGTGGGCTCCAAATCAACACAGAATCAATCCCGTCCGTTTCCAACATGAGGCCACTGGAGGCCAGCTCAATGCGGCTCTCGGGGGATAAGAAGGAGCAGGGCAGGCTGGGAGCCAAGGGCCTGGTTCTGGCCTGGGGTTGCTGTGGCGGGGCCCCATGGAGGCAGGATGGAGCCCACTGCAGCCTGGAGTGCGGGCAGGAATACCGAAGCCTCGCAGTGGATGCGGGGCTGTGGGGAGTCGCTGGTGGTGTAGACAGGGAAAGGAGGGCTTCTGGAAGGCCCTATGGCCCCTGCTTCTATCTTCCAGGAGCCAGCTGTCTCCCCATCCCATGTGCTCAGAGGACCTTGGCCAGCAGAGAGGCCCACTGTTACCAGCAGGGGCTTGGAGATAAACCCCAGCATGCAGGTCTGGGGACTGGGGAGCCCAGCTGGGCTGCGTGGGGTGAGGGTAGGAAGCCTCCACTGCCTGTTTGGAGATGGCGGGGAGCCCAGAACCAGAGCTGACCCAGGGCCTGCTTCAGGACTGCCTGGCCTGGTCCATGCAGGGGAGGGACGGAGGGAGGGAAGGAGGGAGAAATCAGAGAAGGCAGGCCGACACCCAAGTAGGCCAGACAACCAGGTCTCCTGGAGGAAGCATTCCAGCCCTGCCTACCAGCCGGGCCCCAAAAGGAAAGTGCTCAATGTCCAAGGTCTAGGGTGTGGGGAGGCAACTCACAGCCCCGCCCAGCCCAGGTAACATCCTCCTTGGCCTTGGGGGTGGGGTGAGGAAGGTGGGAAGCAAAAAGGACAGGAGAGGGGGACGGGCTGTGTATGTGTGAGCATGTGCGGTGTGTGTATACACACCCATGTGGGGAACGTGTGCGTGTCTGGTGCACAAACACACACGCGTGGGGGGGGCCTATGTATGTATGGTGTACACGCACACACATGGGGGTTTGCATGCATGTGCACGTGTTATGTATGGCATGCATACACCCATACGTGGGGGTGCACGTGTTTGGGGGGAGGACTGCCCAGCTTTCTTCACCTCAAAGCCAATAGTAACCAAAAGGCCTGACCCTGCAGGGTGCCCCCCCTCCAGCTTTTCTACCAAGGCAGCCGTACATTATTTTTATAATCATTTCAGTCAGATTATACTCGGTACAACAGTCTGCTAAGGGGGAAAAAAAAAGCTAAATCTTTTACAAAGCAAAATACAAACTTTAAATGCAGCTTGAGAAAAACCCTGGGAGCAGAACAGAGCTTGACGTCAGCCGGGTAAATTTAGCTGGGCCACCGCTGGGCTCACAGAGCGAAGGCGTACAGGGAGCACGGGAGGGTGTGGAGGCCCGCCAGCCCCCAGCCACCCCGACCTGCAGCTGGGGCATGGCCCAACGTCACAGGGCACGGCCGGAGGCCAGGGGCTAGGGAGCTTCTGCTGCGCCCCTGCAGGAAGCCTGGCCTTAGGAATGAACATAGATCCTGGTCGTCTGACCTCAAAGTCCCAGGACATCAGGCCAGTAGCTTCTTTCCCTAAGCAGCTGTTTCCCCCTCCTCCATAAAGAAGGAGTAAAAATAGTCGCTAGCTCATGGCCGGTGTAAGAATTAAACTCACGGAGAATCAAGGGAGGAGCATGCCTGGCAGGTGTGTTGTGGGGGCCCTGACCTCACTCCACCCCAATGTCCCACTGGAGGCTCTGGGGACAGTCACAGGGATAAAGAGGGAGCAGCTCAGCCCTGGGAGGGACCCAGGTTGGGTGGGGGCAGATGGGTAAACTGAGATAGCACAGAGAGGACAGGTACCCAAAACAAGCCAGGACCGTCACAGGGAGGGGCTGAATCAGCCAGGACCGGCTAGCATCTGCCCCAGTGCGACCCTCATGGATGCTCATTTCAGTCCAAATGTTATTTTGTTTGAGTAACATTTTTAAAATATAAATTGACTCCGCCTGTCTGCAGGGACCGGAGGCTGCAGCCACACTCAACCTGGCATCCACACCCGCTGTGGAACTGGGGATGTGCGCTCCCAGGTCTGACCCCGCGCCGGCCTGCGCAGAGGCTGAGGGGCAGAGGACCACTCCATGCTCTGGCCCCGTCCCTCATTCGTGTTATCAGCTCGGTCCCTGGAGGCACCCAAAGTCTGGGGACAAAGGGCCAGGGGATTGAGTGCGGCCTCACACAGGAGCCTTATGTTGAGCAGGGGTTTTGCTGGGACAAGGAGAGGAAGGGCGTTCCAGGCAGAGGGAACAGAAAGTGCAAAGAGAAGCACAAGAAAGCCAGGGAGGGCTGCAGACCCTGAGGCCCACAGAGGCGGCTCAGAGGGCCTGGGCCCAGGGCAGTGACCCGGGGCGGCACAGGTGGCCCAGTCAGGCCGCAGTGGGGGGAACGAGCTCTGCTGGCAGAGACAAGGAGACCGAGGTAGAGCTGGGGCACAGGAGGAGAGCTGCTCCCCACTTCTCCCCTGTCCCGAAGCCCAGGACAGGGGAGGGGCCGCCTGCGGAGGAGATGCAGTTGGCAGGCCCGTTGCCATGGTGACCAGGCAGCAGCTCCCAGCTCCTCTGGGAGAAGCCTCCCAGCCCACCTCAGCCAGGACGGGATGACTCAGGGGAGGGGGGCCTGGGGGGGGCAGGGCGACCCCCACTCCTGAGCTTGGCAGGCTCAGGTGATGAGTGAGCACAGAACAGGGACCCCCTGAAAAGCCCAAGGAGGGTCCACCTGGTATTCTGGAAGCTCCCAGGAGGTCCGCGGCCCAGGGCTGGCGGTTACAGGGGATGCACGCTAAGGAAGACACAGCTCCAGCCCACAGGATGCTTATAGCTCAAGAAGCCGTGTATGAAGGGACAGGAGGAGGGGCCCAGGGTCCCACGGTGTCCCGGCACCCCGAGCCTGCCAGGCCGTGGCAGCTCCCCGTGAGCAGCAGCGAGTGGAGAGGCTGGGCGTGGGCAGGGCAGTCAGGGAGGGCCTCCTGGAGGGAGCTGAGGAGTGAGCCACCAGGGAATCCAGAGGGAGAGCATTCTGAGCAGAGGACACTGCTCGTGCATGAGCTGGACGTGCTCTCAGATGAACGGGGAGCCACAGGCGTCAGACAGCGCGGGAGTGAGGAGGCCGAGAGGAGGTGAGGGGCGTGCCAAGGGTGGTCTGAGGGGCTTGGAGGCCACCTCAAGGGCTGTGGCTTTAGTTTAGCCTGAGGTGGGTCGTAAGGGGGAGGGTGGGGTCAGGGGGTGCCTTAGGAAGCCTGACTCCCAACTCAAGGGGCAGAGATGGGCACCAGGACCCAGGGGCAGTGGGAGGAGGGGGGAGATCCAACCTCATGGGCAAGGGCTGGAGGGGCCCCAGGGAGGGGGTCCCACCAGAGAAGTACCAGCAGCAGAGGCTGCCCGCCTGGGGACCCCAGGGACCTGGGCGCTCGCAGAAGCTGAAGCTGGGGGCAGAACAGGGGCCTGTCACCCGCTAGCAGCCTGCCGGCCTTTCACAGCAGGGCGAGCCTATAAAGTAATAACAACTCCACCGGCTTCTCGGGCTTCCTTGCCCCCGGAAAGGCTCCAATGCCCCTCGTGTTCACCAGCACAGCAGCTGTGAACCCTGGCTCTTCCCCCGAGAGTCACCAGCCCAGAGCCCGGAGCCTGCTGCTGGCCCGGCTCCTGCGCCGTCTGCTGCAAGGAGGCTCCCCGGGGCCCCCACACCTCGAGCTGGGCCCGTGCGACACAGGGGCGGGACATCACACAGAGAATCAGAGACATGTCGTGATGCTCTGATGGCCCGGCTCACACACAGGGCAGGGCCGCTGCCAGGCCACCTGCCCCCCGCAGCCCGTGCTCCCCACTGCCAGGCCACATCCCCAGCAATGCAACACGGGAGGGCTTCCTTTCCTCTCCCTTTCTTTTAAATAACAAGGATGGGGCAACTGGTGGCTCAGTGGTGGAGCATCTGCCTTAGGCTTGGCTCAGGGCGTGACCCCGAAGTCCCAGGATCGAGTCCCACATCGGGCTCCCCGCAGGGAGCCTGCTTCTCCCTCTGCCTGTGTCTCTGCCTCTCTCTCTCTCTCTGTCTCTCATGAATAAATAAAATCTTAAAAAAAAAAAAGATTTAAAAAGGACTGAATGGCTACTTAAAAATAGTGAAGACCGTGAATTTGCGCAGCACAGCTTCAGGCCTACTTAAAGAGGTTTGAACACAAAACCAAGAGCCACGTGCCCTCTTCAAACACAGCAGTGCTGTGCCTTCCGTCCCTACGATAACTGCAGGGGCCGGAGCCCTGTAGCCAAGCCTGACCAGGAGGGCACCCCTCCCCCAGAGGCCCCCACACCCGCAGGACCAGCTCCAGGTCGGCAGGCTCGAAAGGCACCCAGGGAAACTTCCATGTGGCTTCCACTTTTCCTGCGAACAGCTGTGCTCACTGCTGAACGTGGTATTTGGGGGTGGGGAGGGGTGGTGTTGAGGGCTTTCCATTTTGAAATAGTCCCCAAAGCAGTGAGCTTCACTCCCCCGGCCTCTGGCTGTGGCTGAGAGCCAGGGACCCCCCCCCACCCCTGAGGGTCTAAAGCTGCCCCAAGCTGTCCTGTTATCTGTCCACCCCCTTGCTGAGATGAACCTGGGCTCCTGCAGAGGACTGGGAACAGCTCTTTGGGAACAGACACAGAAAACTAACGGCAATAACCACCCGGCCCACCCTCACGGCTGCCACCGCCAGAAAGCACGCTGGGCCCAGGGCCACATTCAGTATCTCACCCGGTCCTCTCACCAGCCCCAGATCCCACTGAACAGAGAGGTGAAGGAGCATGCAAAGGTCGCCCAGCAGGACCACAGCCAAGGCTGCCTGACTCTAAGAAGGTGTGTTAAGCTGGTGATTTTAAAAAGGGAAAACTATGTATGAAAGTACATCCTGTAGGGATGCCTGGGTGGCTCAGAGGTTGAGTGTCTGCTTTCGGCTCAGGGCATGATCCTGGGGTCCTGGGATCAAGTCCCCCATCGGGTTCCCCTGCTTCTCCCTCTGCCTGTGTCTCTGCCTCTCTCTCTGTGTCTCTCATGAGTAAATAAAATCTTTAAAAAAGAAAAGAAAAAAAAATAATAAAAAAATAAATAAAAAAGAAAAGAAAAGAAAAGAAAGTACATCCTGTAAAGAAGCTCCATCTGCCGCTACTTGCTCTCTTAAATTGGCCATGTGTGCTCTGCCTTAGGCCGGGTCCCCCTCCTGGCACCAGCCCGCCAGGCCAGCGAGAGAGCACCTGCCACCTCCCAGACAGGTGCCCGCCACCCCCACCACACTCTCCTTATCTCACCTGCCTGTGGCAGCTCGGAGGAGCGGACAGACCCAGGGTGAACCCCACACTTCCTCGAAGAGCCGAAGAGCCGGCATTGCTGGCCGCAGGAAACCCCACCAGGTCCTGGGGCGCCTCCCCACCCCCACCCCCCCCCGTGTGACAGCACACATCCAGGAGCTTCCCATCACAGCCCCAAAGTGCCAGAGACTCAAGCTCCCCACCCCCACAAGGCACTTACCAAAGCGACCCATCATCATCCTGCAACAGAGAACAGAGAGGGAGAGGGTCAGAGGGTGGCTCAGAGCACAGTGCAGAGGGAGCCCAAGGAGCCCTGAGTCGCCCCGCTGAAGGACTTTTACAAGAATCTAGGTTCTGGTTTGATAGATTCTCTGTCCCCCTAATTGCAAAGGACAGGTGCTGATGTGGATTTCTAACTGTCTGCCCAAGATCAGCAGCAAATGGCCACCTTCATTAAATCACCCCATTAGGGACGCCTGGGGGGCTTAGTGGTGGAGCTCAGGGCGTGACCCCGGGGTCCTGGGATCGAGGCCCGCATCGGACTCCCCTGCTTCTCCCCTGCCTGTGTCCATGTCTCTCATGAATAAATAAAATCTTTAAAATAATAAAATAAAAATAAATAAATCACCCCATTAATGCCATGGGGGGGGATGAAATCATGGGACCGGTTAATAGGGAGAACAGTTCAGCAGAAAATGGGTCTTCTGGTGCTGCTGAATGGTAAGTTTTAAGTTTTAAGCCACGGGTTTTGGGGTGGTTGTTACACAATTATGGATAACTAAGACCCCACCCCACTCCTCATTCCCCTCCGCTGCCCTCTTCTTGCTCCCAAACAGGCCAGGCTGGCTGCATAAGGGCCACTGTGGGTGCCAGGCCGAGCACCAGGCCCCTCGTCCCCCCCCCTCCCCGTGGGCTTGGAACAGCTGAGCGGCTCATGGGGCCACACGGCGGCGGCTCTCCAATTCACCCGGCGGCTCCCAGGGGGCCAGGAGTGGTCTCCTACGTCAGCCCCGAGTTTTGAAAAGACCGCACGTGGATTCATGACACGGTAATTAATCACTCGGTGAACGGATCGGGAGGGTTCACCGAGACGATCAATCTCTAATGATCTGTTTCATCTGAAACAGGTTTGGTGGCGAGGCACGAAGGTGGTGGATTTTAAAGATCCTTAACAGGGTGTCATGGGGGCTCCTAAAAGCTACACGTGAAATCCGCCATTTGATGCGCTATTTTCAATAGTTTTGAAGCCTTTTAGACTTCTTTAAAAGTTGCCCTCTGGCTTTCTCTAAGAGACCAGAGACGGCTCGGTAGTATCTCAAAGGAAAGTTCTAGTTCAGAAGTGTGGCTCCCTTTCCGACGGAGCGGATGCACAGGTGGTTAAATGAACCGGGACAAGGGGTCCCTAACCACTCTGAACACCTGCTGCCCCCACCCAATATTCTCTAAGGTCACCTCCTAAAATAAGGAATAAAACTCCAAAGGCGGGGGCGCCTGGGTGGCTCAGTCAGCTGAGCGTCTGCCTTCGGCTCAGGTCATGATCCCGGGGTCCTGGGATGGGGCCCTATGTCGGGCCTCCTGCTCAGCAGGGAGTCTGCTTCTCCCTCTGCCTCTGTCCGCCCACTGCTCATGCTCTCTCCCTCTCTCTGAAATAAAAATCTTAAAAAAAAAAAAAAGTCCAAAGGCTTTGGAGAATAACTGTTCTCACAGCAGACCTTGAAGACACTAGCATACCTGCCCTACAAAAGCTCAAGTTTTCCCTTCCGCTTACCCTTTTCTTCCTTGTAAGAGACTCAGAAGGGGATCGGTTATATTTTTACTCGCTGACCATTCTCTGTGTTATTCCAGAAAAGATACCGGGAAGCCTAAGTTAAGTTCTAATTCCTTTGCTGCCCGTAGTTTGTTTACTTTTCCATTTGGGAGAATTAGTCGTTTACATACGGAACCAAACTGCTACCTTGCCCTTCCTCATGAAAAAGGAAAAAAAAAAGACCTTTGAAGAAAGTGCATGCAGGTCGTAAAGCTAGGACAGCCCTCGCGTGAAAATCTCATCCTCAGGTTGAGGGACGTTGCACCAGAGATCAGCCCCCCTGCACCCATGCGGGTCCCAGGCTGGGTCAGGGCCTGAGGCCAGGGCAGCAGGTGCACTTACTCTGTCGTTGTGGTCAGCTCTTCTGTGACATGGCTGGAATGCAGCAGGCCTTCCCGCTTCTGCAAACCCCAAAACGGACAAGTAAGTATACAAGCACGCATGCAGGCTGAGGGGACCGGAGGAGGAACAGCACGGATGGGGTAGCTGAGCTGTGTGCGGATGGCCCTGGAGCCAGGCCACCTTAGGGACAGCACCCAAGCCACACCCACCCAGGGCAGACTGCAGGTGACCCCATGGGTGACCCTTTGGGAGGCTAGAAGCTGCCCCCTCCCCGCCACCTGCCTGCTGGCTCTCCACGTGGTTCTGAGAGCTGGCAGCTGGTGTGGGGGGGCACGGGTGTCCCAGGAGAAACACCCCAACTCCCAAAGGGATCCCCTGCGCCATGCAGCTGGGAGAGGAAAGGCGCACAGGGAACCCACAGACATCAGGAAGCATCCAGTGCAAGAACGTGTGCACTTGGTTGAGCACGGTGGACCCCCTGGAAGTCATGCCCATTCCGAACCTCAGAAGGTGACCTCATTGGGAAACAGGGTGTTTGCAGATACAGCTGAAGATGAGGCCACAGCGGACTAGGGGAGGTCCTAAATCCAGCATGACCAGAGTCTTTCTAAGTGAAAACAGAGACCCAGACACACTGGCAGAGAGGGAAGAGGCTGAGTGACAACAGAGGCAGAGCCTGGAGGGACGAGTCTACGAGGCCAGGAATGCAGAAGCTGGAAGGATCCCCCCTGGAGGCTTCGGAGGGCGTGTGGCCCAGCCAGCTCCTCGCTTAGAGGACTCCTGGCCTCCGTACCCGTGAGAGAATAATGTCTGTTGTTTTAAACACACAGGTTGTGGTATTTTGTTACAGCAGCCCGGGATGGAAGATTGTGTGTGCTAGACTTCTCCGGAGGCCCCACAGGTGTGAAGAGGCAGCCATGGGCGGGGATGGGGGCTACGGGGCAGCCTGGACATCCGCGGACCTCAGGGTGGAGCTTGGCAGCCAGCTAACCCCCCCACTGCAAGCCCCGGCTTGAACCCCTCAAGAAATGGGGAACTCACTTCCTGCTGGGCCACCCACCATGGATGCCTCTCGAGATCTGAGCTCCCCAACCCTTCCTGAGGTCGGCCTCCGGGGAATTCTCACAGCTGGTTCTTGCAGATGCAGAGCAACCACCTGCCCTGGACGGCCATCCGCGGCCTCTCGGCCTCACTCGGATCCCCAGGAGAGCCCACCGAGGGAGGGCCGGGGACAGCCCACTCACTTACGTATCCGACATTAGGCACCTACTAGAGGCCAGGCCCAGGGCTAGGTACTGGACACATGAAACTGAGTATTTCTGAGGTTTATAGCATCGTCTCAGGTCACTGGGAAATCACTGCAACTCAGAAATCAAGCGATCTCCCAAGGCCATGCTGCTAGGTAGCAAACAAGGCCCGTCCCCCCATTGCTTCCCTCCACGGACCCCCAGATTCCCTGCATCTCCCATCTCTGGCCAGATCACCGGACATGGAGGATCAGGCCCTGGACTTCTGGGGCCAGAGGCCAGCCAGTTCCCGGGACCTCCTTTCCCTGATTCCTGCGCCTTTGGGTGCGGCCCAAAGAATCCTCCCATAACCCCGGTCAGGCAGGAGGCGCCAGCAAGTGCTTGCCCGAGTCAGTAAAACTTTTTGAAAAACCCAAAAGATTTTCTTGGACCAAAGTGCAGGCCTGAAAGGAAATACCTTGATTACCGAGCTGTACGGAGTTCATGGGGCCCCGTGTCTGACGGACACGGGTTTGGGAACCACATGCCCACGTGTCCTTGGGAAGCCTTTCTCGGCTGGCCGCCTCGAGCAAGCATCCAGGACTCAGGCAGCAGGAATGGTCCCCGATCCCATCACCACTGACCACAAACATCCATCCTTAGGAAGCAGGCAGGGCCAGATAGCAGCGGGTAACCCTGGCCTGATGCCCGGAAGGGGCATTCCTTCCCCCACCCCCACCCCCCACCTCACCACCCATCCAGGTCACGACCAAGCTCCCCGGGTAATGGAGGGGTCAGACGGGAGACGGCTTTGGAAAATCAGGACCAGCCAGAGCCTTGTAGCCCCAGAGAGCGCAGGGAAAGCATGGAGTTGGATATTGCAAGTATACACAGTATATATACTTATCTATACAAGTATATACGCAGTACGTACGCAAGTACAGACACACAGACATCCAGGTTCCGAGCATAACCTCATCCGTCTGGCAGGAGAAGCGGTGCTTTTGCAACCCGAGTCTTCTCCCCGTTTAGTGTCCCCGATAGCCAGTGCGCAGTGCCAGGGACACAGTACGTGCTTCCCACACATTTACTGGACAAGACCACAAACATGGACCCAGGGCAGGGTCTGTCCCCTCTGATGCAGGCGACACAACAGCGGGAAAGGCTGCTCCGCCTCTGTCAGAAGGACCCTAGCTCCCAGTTACATTTCTCCAAGTGAAGTGAAAGAAATGACCGTAAGAGAGAGATCGCGGGGAATGATGGATATAATGCAGAGCAGATGCAGAGGAGCTTTAATTGGGGTATCTATTTCATACCGCTGGTCTCAACCCTCTCCGGTGAGTAATAAGCTCATTCAAGAGAACTGAATTCCAACTACTTGGTTTTGGAGAGAAATGAATGTTCTTTAAAAAAAAAATCTGGAAAATTAAACCTCAATACGCTCATGCCTTTGAATCTGTCTCTCTCCAAATCAGTGCCATTGTTTGAGCTCCAATCATTTGTCTCCAAGCCAGGGTGAGACACACATTTTGTCAAGAGGGGGGAAGGAGAAGGTAGCCTCTTTTTGGGGGGGGCAGGGAGGAGACAGCAGCAAGGAATCCATCCACAGGAGCCAAGGCGTCCCGATACCCCTCCCATAGCGTCACGGGCAAGTCCGTCGCCCCAAACTCACCCGTACGACCACCACTTGCACAGACACATGCTCGGGGAGACGGATCGGGGCCCGGAAGTGCATGGCCAGGGCCACGAGGAGATGCAGGATGGCCACCAGGTTCTTCCCGTGAATAGCTTGTCAGGGGAGGCAAGAAGGGAGCTGCTTTAGGTCAGATTATGCGGGAACCCCGAGCCCACATCCAAAAGGCAATAAAGACACTGTGTCTAAATGAGACCACAGAAAAAAACCATGAGGAAAAGGAAAAAAAAAAAAAAAGCACGGACCACGGAAAAAATGATGACGATGAGCACCTTACGTACTTTTTTCTAATTTTTTCCTTCCTATTGGCTTTACGGTGACCTCTGCAACCACTTTCAGAAGCATAGCATTTGGGGACACCTGGGTGGCTCAGCAGTTGAGCATCTGCCTTTGACTCAGGGAGTGATCCCGGGGTCCAGGATCGAGTCCCATATCGGGCTCCCCATAGAGAGCCTGCTTATCCCTTTGCCTGTCTCTCCCTCTCTCTCTGTCTCTCATAAATAAATAAAATAATTTTTTTAAAAAAAACACAGCATTTTGAAAGGGTCACCTGGGTGGTGTCTTTTCCCTCCTTCCTCTGGGGGCCCCCCCGAGCCACCCAACCAGAAACAGCTCCCCTCCTCTCTGAAAAAAAGGCAATGACAGGTGTGACTCAGGAGCTAACTCCCAAGAGTGGGGACACTGGCTCTGTCCTGTCCTAGATGCCTCTCACAGAGCAGCAGTGGGAACGCAAGCCCAGATGCCACGATGAGTGACAGCACAGAAAGCTAAGGGGACACACTCGGGGACACTACTCACAGTCCACGGTCCACTGGAGCGCCCAGCTGTGGGGCCGCAGCAGGCCGTGTACCGCTTCCAGCACCGTCTGCAGCTTCTGCTTCTGGCCTATCTTAGACTGTGTCACCTCGGCCACGTTCAGCTTGCAGTCGGCCAGCTTTTCTGCAATGAAAAGGACACAAGCAAGATGCGAGGCATCAGGAGGCATCAGGTACCAGAGGGTCTCAGGGTCGCCTGGCCAGCTGACCGCAAGGGGGCCACTCCCCCACCTGCCTCGGGTGGAGCAGAGCATCGCATAGCAGCAGGGCGATGTCAGGATGGGGAGCCATGGAACTCCCAGCTTCCTCGTCCTGCATGTTCCTTGGGAATGTCCTCCAGTGCAAAAGGGGGTGCAGAGTCCGAGGGCAGAACTAGAGGTGTCCCACTTGGGAACATCCTGTGCACATGACATGGAAAAAATGAGTCAAGGTGCAGCTGAGAGGCAGGGAAGTGACTCGCAGGGATGGGGACAGAGACGGCCCCACTCTTGTTGCTCTAACAATTGGACACCGCGGTAAGGATGGCAAGATGTTCGCAGACGTTGCCAGGACTTTATCATCCAGAGTGGGCCCAGAGCCACTTGGAGGAACCAGACAGGAACTGCCACATCTGCTCCAGACCCAGCGACTGACCCTGAGCCTGGCCTCGACCCTGCCATGCGGGCCCCCCACCGGCTCTAAGACGGGTGTCTCCTGATGGGTCTCCTCGGCAAAGCAACAGCAAGTGTCACAGAACAGGGTGACCTGTTCCCCGGGAGGGTGACCGAGGTGCTGGGCACAGAGCCCAATCGGCTTCGAGCGGGGAGCCAGCTGCTAGCCGAGGCATGGACGGGAGCAACAGCGTAAAAGCAGTGGGATCCAGGCTGGTCACGGGGAGGGGGGGCTCCCATTTTGCAAGTGGGCCTCAGCAAAACTGTGTGTGCGGCCTTTTCTCTGGAGACCTGCTAATTCAGCATTCTCTCTGAGCGTCCTCCCCTCCCTCAATTAGAACAAGAGCAAGCAGTTCTTATGGTCCCTCCAGGATAAGATCATTATAGGGCAATGCCTGTGGGGTTTGAGATGCTCGCTCCCTCCCTCCCTCAGCTCACCAAAAAGTTATACCAGCACCTTTTGTGTGCCAGGTGCTAGCCTGGGGCTGCACGCAGCACAGACAAGGGGCTCCGCAGTGGAGAGGCAGCCCCACCTCGCTAACATCAGGTCGGCAGCCGTGAATGCTAGAAGCAAAACAAAGCAGCTCCACCACATGCATCCTGCAGGGGCTGGAAGTGGTTCCCGATTATGTATTTTGATGGCCCCTCTGCCTCTAATAGGTCTTAGCTGGATAAGCCACAGCTGTTCCATATGAACACCCTGAAAATACATAGCAGGTCCCCCAGGTGTTAAGGGCAGGAGCGGGGACATCCTGGGGAAGGAAGGGGCGGGTTTCAGAGCCAGGTGGTCGGAGAGCCTCGCTCACGGGGCGCAGGGAGCCGGGGAGCCCGGCACACCTCTGCTGTCCCAGCCACTGGCCAACCCTGCAGACCCTGGGGCCTGAATGTGGCCGTGGTGTCTGGAGGAGGAGGAGTGATGGAGAAGGCGGGCAACTGTATCAGGCTGTTAGGGCTGCGGTCACACAGCACCACAGACCCGGGGCATAAACAATGCAAATGTACTTGCTCTGGATCCTGGAGGATGGAGGATGGGGGGGGGGGGGGCGGGGGTGCAGGGCTGGCGTCTCCCCAGGCCTCTCTCCTTGGCCTGCAGAAGGCCATCTCCACCCTGTGTGAGTCTGTGTCTTGATCCCCTCTTCTTAAAAGGACACCAGCCATATGGGTTTAGGGCCCAGCCCCAACAACCTCATTTTAACTTACTGACTTCTAGAAAGTCCCGGTCTCCAAATACAGTCACAGGCTGAGGTCCTAGGGATTAGGATTTTGACTTATGAATTCTAGGAGGGGCGCAGACAACACAATTCAGCCCATGACAGGAACCGGGGAAGCTGGTTGTGCCTGGGTGCTGCCTGGGGCTGGCCCCAATGGCTTTGCCATGCGGGAAAGAATAAAACAGCCGCTGCCCACATCACCAGGCGTCTCTCTGCCTACGGATGGGCTGTGGGGGCGGCTCAGGGCTTTGCCGGCTTGGCTCTGGCCTCACCTGCCTTCACCACACAGAAAGGGACAGGAAGGTGGGGGGGGGGGGTTCTCAGATGTGTAGGGCAAACACGGGGAGGCCAAATGGGGGAGCTGTGAACACTCCTCGTGCAGGGACAGGCCTGCCTTCTGCAAGGAGAAGGGAGTGCCAGGAGTTAGAAGCAGGACGACAGCCAGCCCAGGAGCCCCCAAGGACCCCAGCGTGGGTATCCGCCCTCGGCCCAATGGTCCACCTTGCGGAAGAGTTACACCCATGGAAACCTGCCGCGTGGCAGTCGGCAGCTGCTTCCAGAGCCTGCTCTCAAGAAGAGGGACACACCCGGGGTCCTGCTGGTGACCCGCACCTGGCGATCTCACGTGGCCAAATCCACAGGTCCACTCTGTGTCCTCACCCCCTCACCCCCGCATCCTTGGAACGCCCTTGCTCTACCCTCCGGAGCGCAGCGCTCCCCTGGTGCCTCCTCCCTCTTGCGGCTGGACCCTTCAGGCTCCTTCACTGGCTCCTCCTCCTCGGACCCCTTGCTGACCACCCAGGGCCCGGGCCGCAGACCTCTCCTCTCTCTAGATGCACAGGAGCCAGCTTCGGCCTTGGCACTCAGCCACGATTGCCTCTTTTGGCTTTGGCTTCTGCTTCTGGAGGCAGTGAAGAGCAGACTGCCTACGTGGGTGTCATTCCTGGTAACCCTGGGCTCGAGGACGTGCGATCACACAGGTCACTGCCGCGTCCGGTGTCAGCAGAGAGACACCAGCAGTGACGCAACCAGGCAAGGCACGCCGATTTTCTACTAAGATCCAAATACCCTCCTCCACTGTTCTCCTCAAACCGCGGAGGATGTCAAACCACTTGACATACGAGAGATTTAGGATCCACACGGGATGGGAGGCAGCTGCTCCGTGATACAGACGCTGCCCGAGCCAGAGGCAGCCTCATGTGACACTCTGCGGGTGACAGCCCACACAGCACGACTGGCAACCACATCTGCTTCAGAGCAAGCATGGCATGTGCCGGGGCCAGCTGAAGAGGGGACCAAAAGGATGTGCCTTGAGGGGCACGAATTCTTAGCTCCTACCTGCTCTAAAGATGCCCCTGCCACCCGGCACCTGGGAGGCGCCAGCAGCGTTTACAGGCAAATTCAGAGCCTGTCCTGTGATCCGGTGACGGGGTGCCAAGCACTGCCCCCCCATGACACTTGCTAGAACTCAGGCTTGGAACACGATTTTCTTTTCCCCAAGCAATGGGGTGAATGAAGCAAGCCACATGTGCGTGCAAAAGCATCAGAAGGAAAACATTTAAGCATGTGCTGCGCTCTTAGGTTTGCTTTTGAAAATGCTAGGAAGCGTCTCCCTCGGGAAGTGAGCAAGCCACTCGCTAGAGGGGCCGTTTTAATAAGTCAGCAGCGTCACCCACAGCCAACTCTTCAAGTCCAAGAGCCGAAGGGGAGCTGAGTCTCCACCTCAGGCAAGGAAGACAGCTGGTCACCCGGGCAGCTCTGCCATCAGAGCAGTCCTTGCTGGCGGATCCTGAGCTTCAGGCTGCTCCCCGCCCCTTCTCTAGGTCTGTCACCCTGATTGTCCAGTTTAACGATCCTGAGGGCAACCCAGCCCCCGACAGGGCTGAGGATGACCCTGGGAGTGACCCACCAACCACCTCAAACATCGTGACTCTGACCGATACTGTTTTTGATCACGTGTACTTGGCGTACAGCTATTGTATTCGTTTCAGGTGTACAATAGGATGATTCAACCTGGACATTATCAATTAATAAAGTCGTGATGATCATTAACAATCCTGATATCATTTCAGATTTATTCCTGTACCATGGAAGTCATTCTAAGGTGGGGATTCCTGGCTCAGCTAAACGCTCAGAAATCCTTGGCCATTCAGCATTCGGCCAAATAACGAACCTGGAACACCCTGTCCAGGTGAGGCTACCGGGTACCGTGGCGTTGAACTTCACCTCTGTGCTGCCGAGCTCCACCCTCACCCGGCCCCTGACTCGGGTTGAAAGGGCCCCAGCTGCTGTAATACCCACCTCCTCGTTCCCCACCCCCCTCGCTCCTCCCAAGGGGCTCCTGGTTCCCCGGCTCTCCGGCCACAAACCTGGCTGTCAGCTTTGAGTCCTCTGGCAGCTCCAACCCCCAAGATCTCTCCCGGGTATGCACCGCTGCCCAGGTCTGAGCCGCTTCATCTGAGGCCCGGGCTGCTACAACAGCCTCCTGAATGATCTCAGCGCCTACTCCCGACCCCTCCCTTCTGTACCCTGATGCCCGGGTGACTTTTTAAAATGCGTGGCTCCAATCATGTCACGGCCCTGCTCAAAACCTCTAGTGGCTCCCTGTCACTTGGAATAAAGGGCTTCGTCTACTAGGGCTGGATGTGACCTGGCCTCTCGTCCGTCTTCCCAGCCTCGTCCGGCAGCCCCCGCCACCTCTCCCCCACCTCCTGCAGCCTCCTTTCACTGGTCTTGAAACACGACAGACTCTTCTCACTCCAGAGTCTTGGCCTGGACTGTTCTTTTGAGGCTGGCAGTGGTGCAGACATCTGCTCAGATGTCCCCTGCCAGAGGGGCCGCCCCCACCGCCCAGACCCTCTCCATCCCAGGACCCTCTGGCTTCCTTCCTAGCGCGTGCCACTCTCTCCGAGCATCTATCTGTGTCCTGTGACATTTCTCGTTCTTCCCTCTGCCAGAATGTGGGGGGGTCAGGTGGGTGAGGGGGTCACCCTCCCTCTGGTTACCACTGCACCCCCAGAGCCCAGATCCACACCTACCACAAGGTGAATCTTCGAATAACCAAGACAAACACAACTTTTTCCCTCCAAATGTATTTTGTGGGGACAGGCTGAGTGAGGGCATGACAGGTGGGCCACCATCACCAATCGCATATCTTTCAGGGCGAGTTACATGAGGCAGGAGGGCTGACCCATGGAGGAAGAGGCACCGTTCTTGCCCCATCTCCCCATTCCCATGGGACAGTTCTGGAAGTTGGGCATGGCCTGCTGCAACCCAGGAGCCACCCTCTGGGAGCATGGTCTCAGGGAGGCAGCTCTAAGGCGACCCTCGGGACGTTTGACCCATGCCACCATGCAGAGCATTGAGTGGCTCCTCCCCAGGATGACCCCACTGCAGCCTTTTGCTGGGGACGCCCGTGGACTCACCCAAGAGCTTCTGAAGCACCTGGCCATCGTAAAGGTCCTCCTCCAGCTGCTTCACAATGATCCTCTCCTCCACCAGGACGTCATTGATCCAGTCGATGAGAACCTGGGGACAAGTAGCATTACAGCCTCACTGGCCACACCATGCAGACCAGGGCAAGGGCCAGAGCAAGCCCAGGACCTGAACACTGCTGGACCCCGAGACGTGCCCTGGCACAGCAGACAGACAGGAAGGGAAAGATGCACCCTGGGTTACCGGACTTCCCCTGGGACATCATGAGAGGACAGGAAGGGGACAGCCACCACAGTGACCCAGGCATCCTCCTGGTGGGAACTTGGGTAGAGGGGGACACAATCGGGAAAAGGAAATGATGATGCTTGTTCACTGTGCCTCGGAGAGGGGGTTACATGAGTAATAGTAACAGCACTGTCCCGTGTGGCCCGAGGCAGGACAGGTGGACCATAAAACGTCCATCCCTCCCCTCCCATAGGATCTGCACCAAAGCAGCTCGTATCACTTGAGCCTAGAGCTGTGGAGAGAAGGCGGTCCCCTATGGCCCATTACACAAGCTCCGAGCTCCTATTCTTGTCAACAGCTTTATCAAAATAGAATTAACATACTATATGATTCAGCCTTTAAAGTGTGCAATTTGGTGGTTTTTCGTCTTCACCCAATCGTGCTCCTGATGCCACAATCAACTGGAGAACAGCCTCATCTCCCCAAAAGAAACCCATACCCAGTAGCAGGCGCCCCCACTCCCCCTCCCCAGTTCCTCCCACCACACAGCTATGTTCGCAATCTGCAGATTAGCCTATTCTGGATGAATTCATATAAATGCAATTTCAGGGACACCTGGGTGGCTCAGCGGTTGAGAGTCTGCCTTCGGCTCAAGGCATGATCCCGGGGTCCTGCGATCAAGTCCTGCGTCGGGCTCCCTGCATGGAGCCTGCTTCTCCCTCTGCCTGTCTCTGCCTCTCTCTCTCTCTCTCTCTCTCTCTCTCTCTCTCCCCCTCCCTCCTTCAGTCTCTCATGAATAAATAAATAAAATCTTGTAAAAAAATGCAATTTCATGCAAACGGCATTTCATATAAATTCATATCAATTCTATTGCACCTGACATGCGATCTTCTCTGTCTGGCTTCTGTCACTGGGCATGAAGTGTTCAAAGCTCATCCACGCGGAAAACATGCATCGGTCCATCTTTCCTTCCTGCGGCGGGATGATATCCAGGCATATGGATCTATTGCGTTTCACGGATCCACCTGCCAGCTGATGGGCATCTGGGCCGTTGCCACTTTTCGGCTTTGGGGAGTCAGACCACTGTGAAAGTGGGCACCCCAGTGTTCACATGGACGCGCGCTCGTTTCTGTAGGCCAAAAGCCTTCCGCTGGAGACTTTTCTTGACAAGGTCTCCATTCTCTTATAACCAGCAACATGTTATAAAAGGAGACGGCTTCACTTGTGAAAATAGCCATGGAGAAAACAGCACCCCGATCGGCCAGGCCTGCTCCAAGGCACTTCTCCACGAAATAAAATGGACACCTGAATGGACGTGATCAAAATAGCATAGGATTCTCCTGTGCAGGCAAAGCTGATACAACCACCTAATTGGTCTCAATAACCTCACGGAAGTGGGGGGTCTACTGCCCCTCATAGATGAACAAAAGGGCACCAGTCCGATACACTGTTCTCTGTCACTCTCTGCAATAGATGCAACCTGCAAAATCGGCCACAGAGCAAGTTTCTGTGAAGCATCTTCTATTTCCCCACTAACTCAAAAATATTAAATCAGACCCACAATCCCAAGAAGAATAGAGGTAAACATAAATTAAAGGCAGGTCTGGAGGAAGAAAAAAAGTGTGAGCAGCCCTATGGCATTAGGTTTCGACAAAGTCATCCTGAAAGATCAGCAAGACGGAGCCAGCGCTCCCACACTGTCCCTCCCTCCCCGTCCCCAGGGCCAGCCGCCTGGGTTCAGGGCCTGGCCTGGGGGTCTAGCAGCTGGACCTCAATCCCAGGGCCAGGACATGACCACATCTTCAGCCCCCAGCTGAGCTGCCTCCCCTCCTGCCTCCTAGCACTCTCCTCCACGGCTCAGCCAGCTGTGCCCTCCTCTCTCTGACCTCCCTGAACTGAACCACCCCCTGAACCAATGCCACTTCCAACTGAGCGTCTTGCTGCCTTGCTGGGGCTCTTCACATACCCCTATGCTCCTCTCTGCCTCAGGACCTTGGCATGTGCCATTCCTTCCAACCTAAACCGCCTGGCCAGCTCTCACACATCCTTCAGATCTCAAGCTTCTGTATCATTCTCTGACCACCCCGCCCCACCCAGGCCACATGCCCCAACACCCTCTCACCACACTCACGCATCATTTCCCTGACCCTGTTCACATGGACAATGGGAACACATCTTTCCTTGTAATGAGCTCCCCCACTGGACCCAAAGCTCTCTGAGGGTGGGAATTATGGCACCAGTGGCTCCGCCGTCCCCAGCCCTCGGGGCTCACTGCCTGGCGCTGGCACTCTGTAAACAGCCACCAAGTTGATTGATGAATTGACTGAGCACCCACTATGCGCCAGGCTCTGTGAAAAACGAGACAGATGGGGCCTCTGTTCTTACATTCTAACCCGACATGAAAAGATAAACAAATATACCCACTTTCAGACCGTGATCAATGTTGTTTTTTTTCTTTTTTTCATGATCAATGTTATAGAGAAAAACAAGGCAAGGTACAGTGGAGACGCCTGACAGAGACACTGAGCCAGGCGATGATGGTCGACGCCAACAGCGATGGGTCCTATGGACGGCGCGTGCCCAGACCTGATAGGATGGGGTAAGAAGGACCCTTCATCTCTCTGGTGTTCCTCCTAAAGCCTGTTACCTTACTCTAATGTGGAGAAAAACAGCAGACAAATTCCCACAGAGGGGTATTCTATGAAATTCCTGATCAATACTCGTCAAAACAGGCAAGGTCATCACAAACAAGGAAAGTCTAAGAAAGTGCCAGAGCCCAGAGGGGCTAAGGAGACAGGACAGCGCACAGTAATGTGGGATCTAGATGGGGTCCTGAGCCGGATGAAGGACAGAAGGGAAAAAAAACAAGGAAATCTGAATAAAAGGTGGATGTTAGTTAACAACAATATATTAATACTGAATAAATGTGCCATGTTGATATAAGATATTAACAGAGGAAATGAGGTGTGGGTGGACGGGAACTCTCTGTACTCTCTTCTGCTATTTTTCTATAAATTTAAAACCATTTGGAAAATCAAGTCTATGGGAAAAACTAAGGGTTTGGGGATAGAGAGGGTATAGTGGCCATCAGGGACCAGGAGGTCAGGGGGCGTCTCAGAGCAGGTGACATCTGAGCAGAGATAGGAAGGAGGATGGGGATGAACCTCAAGGCCACCTAGGACCAGCAGGGAGGTGCCAGGTCGGGGAGCTGGGGCAGGAGGACCGGGGGAGGGCGATGCCAGCCCCGGACGTCCACCTGTCCTCGAGGGCAGCGGCTGTGAAGTCACTTGGGGCAGCGGATGAGGAGAGTGACTGTGGGTACCAGTGGGACAGGGATGCACCCAGACCAAGAGATGGAGGGAGGTGGGGAGCAGCTGGGCAGGTGCATGGGGCGTCTCCATGGTGCTGAGGTCCCTGGAATGATGTGAGAAGGCCAGAGGGAGACCTGTGCCGTGGGCTGGAGGCACCAGGGAGGAAGAAGAGAACAAACAGGGGGAGACAGTCGACAGTACAAGCAGGAGGGAAAGGTCTAGAAGCAGCTGGGAGCATCTGGAGCTGGGAGGATATCTGGCCCCTCCTGCCCCAACCTCCATGGGGTGAGGCAGAGACTCACTGAGCCATCGGACCCCATCATGCACCCTGCAGGGGCCCCGGTTACACGGTTGCAGGGTTGGATTCAGGGATCACAGGAAGGCCTGCCCCACACCTGCCTCCCCCTGGCCACCAGCAACCTGGCTCCTGGCAGGAATGCCCTCATCCTGGATCCCTTAATCCCACAAAGCTCTACTGTTGCCCTTTTATCAGCAATTTTACAGCGATTATTGGGGCCAAGTGACAGTATTACACTAACCAGCTATTGCTAAGCACCGTCCTCGTGCCAGGCTGTGGGTGGCAAAGGTGTCCCCGACCCCCAGAAGTCGACGCTCTAGCCGGGAGATGGGCAGGGATGAGTTATGAGCCTGAGCAGGGGAAGGGCAAAATCCGGGCCATGGAGGCTCGAACCTGCGCATCTGACGTCTCAGGAAAGGGGAGGCGTGCAGGAGGTAAACCTGGAGCAGGCAGGTCAGAGGGCCCGAGCGCCCACAGAGAACCACCTCCTCACTGCGCTGCTGAGAGTCCAGGCACGATTCCACGTACCAAGCTCTCTCAGGACCGAGGATGGGATGCTTCTCCCCTGAGACCCAGAGACCTGGAATGCCCCCCACTGTGGATCTCCAAGGCAGACCCACCACCTGGTCCCCGAACCCACTCCCACAGCCACAGAACTGAGACCCCTGTGGCTATGCCCCTCCGTGGGGGCCTGTTCTGGCCACTTAATGAGATTTTTACTGATGTGTATTTTTTGCAAAGTGTGTTATTTAAACTTCAGAGATAAAAATGAGCGCGGGGACACGAGGCAGGGCAACCCTAACACCCATTCTTGGCCTCAGAGCCTTCCCTGACCTGGATCCCCTCTCTGGCCAGTCTTTCCCTACCAAGTTCCCACAATCCTCCCAGCCTGTCCTGCTGCCAGCCTCTTGTTTAGATGCAGATCTTTGGCTCCTGCACCTTCTCACCTGCCCCGGGGCCACCCCTCACTTCACAGCAGCCACAAGGGGCTGATCCTGGACCTCCCCACAGGCAGACTGAGCGCTCCCTGAGGCCAGGGATGGCACCTGCTACTTCAAATTCCCCACAGCACTCAGCAAAGCCCCGAGCCCTAAAAATATCCTAAATACCAGGTAAGTGACGACTAATCACGTTCCTCATGTTGTCTCTAATTTTTGGCTAATAGCTTAAATGACTTTGTAGGCAGAATTTTAAAACACCCCCTACTATCCCAGCCTGCTATGCGCAAGTCCCTGTCACCCTTGGGACCGTGAAGACAA